ATTGAAATCAATTGTTCGATATGATATAAATATATATTTGTGTGATATTTTAAATTTACAAATAACATACAACAATCAAAATTTTATGCCAATGGAATACAATGATAGTAATGGTAAAAATTGTATTGCCTATAAAATATATATATATATATATATATTAATTCAGTACCTACTCATTGAATCATGGTTTGAATGTGTCGAACTATAGTGTAAATATATTGAATTAATGTTAATCTGTTGAAAAAAAAATAAAAAATGCTAAGCTGTATTTAAAACATTTTAAATCACAAATAAAATATATTAAAGCATATAATTTCAGCACAAGATCTTATGTATGTTACAAAAGTAAACAAATCTTTTGCATAATATATAATTATTTTATACTCCCTCCGTACCATGTCCATGTTGTCGTTTCTGTTCGTTCCACGTACCATATTATTTTTCTTTTTTGGGAAATGATTACACACTTTAATCTCATTTTAAACTTTTTAATTTTATCTTTTTTTTAAATTTTAATTAAACTAATTAGTTATCTTAATATTAATTTATAATTATTTATATTATCGGATAATTATTTTCACTAATACATTCTTAATTATCTACTAATTATACTCCTCCTAAAATACAATGCTTATATTGTAGCATACACGGTATGTGGGACGGAGAGAGTAGTATTTAACAAATATTATATATTTTTAATATATCCTGAAAGGTAGCTAGCTAGCTTGCAAGGCTGCGAGATGACAATTATTGACTCCATGTGAACTTTTTGAAAAATAAAAATAAATAATTAAAGTTGTTACATACTATTACTATTAATTTGCTCCAATTTTAAATAATTGGTTTAAGACTATATGTAGAATTGATTCCAATTCACACTTGTCGATCCATATCAATTTAATTGTTTGAATATAAAAAAAAACGTGCATATTTCCCTATTTATGAATGTTTTATTTGATTTATATATATATTAACATTGCCTCTTCACTTTTTTCATTCCTATACAATCCTCAAAAATATTAACTAAAAATACAATATATATTATATATAATATATATGCATAATAATAAATATATATATATATATATAATATTATTCTGTATTATACATTTACGATTTGTCATATTTAAAAAAAAAAAAAAACCTTAAAAAATCATAAATACTAAACAAACACTTAATATTTTGTAAATTTATGATATTATCGAATGCAATTGTTTATTTAAAATATTTTATAGGATAAGATAATATAATTTTATTTAAAAATATAAACATTTTTTTTTTGTGGCAATAATGTAATGCATAAAATAATAAACTCCAAATTAAAAGTATATAATTTTTGTTTTTCTTTTTGAAATTTCATTGTCATTTTGAAAATTGTGAATAAATTATGTTCTTTTGTTTTATATGGAGAAAATACAAATGAACTATTATGTATTAAAATGTTTATATCATGAACAATATATATATATAAAAAATAAATCACTTATTGAACCACAAATAAATACAATTACCGGTCAACAAAATCATTTTCAGTAAGACCAATTTTAACCCATTAATTCTATTTGTGAATAAACACTCCCTAAGTTTATTTTGTCATATGGTCCATTAGGCTTTCTTCAGGCTACAACCACCTTTTTTTTTTTTTTTTTTTTTTGTTTTTAAGCATTCGTAGGTTGCAGAAATGTTGTATCTGCAACTCTGCTACAGTCTGAATTTGTGGGCTTAGCATTATCCATTGTGTCCAATACAAGAGTCAAACTGAGTATTTTGAGAATGGTCAGACTCGTACAGTGAAAGTGTGTTCTTTTCAATGATACATAGAATATAAAATCAGAGAAGATTATTGAGAAAAACTCTCATCACTCATCCAGTTCAACTCTCTACATTTTGAATGTGTGTTATACACTGATATCAATTGGAGAGGTCGAAGGTGTTCGGAATTATTGGAGTTCCAACCAGAGGGATGATCAAACTCTGGACTTCTTTGTTGTGTGGTCGTTGTTAATACGAGGTTGTAGCAACGAGAACCTTAGGAGGTATTTTCCTGGTTAATCATGACAAGTGTTAGAGTTAAATGAGTTGTGGTTATTTGGGTCCTTAATTAGCAATTTTTCTTGGATTGGTATCTTCCAGATGTAGATTTGTTGATAATCGAACCGGGTCAACAAACACCTTGTTTCATTGTTGTTTTATGTTATGTATTGTCTTTCATTGTTAAAACGTTGTTATAACTGTGAACCACCCACGCTTAGGGAGTTGCCCTTTAAAGTGTTCGAATGTGTTTTTGTTCGATAAACCACTTCCCCAACACTATTTATTCAATTTTAAATACAATTTGTAACAGTATTTTTACTCAAACTCACAATTTTAATTTTTATTCCAAAAAATTTATTCTTCAAATATTCTAGTATATATATTATTTTAAACTACTTTTTTATATCTATAATTAATATATATATTTTTTTTATGGCGTTGTATCTATAATATAATTAATATTATAGATACAGCGTGAAAAATACAGTCCTTTTGGAGTTAGCCTAATCATGCTATTGGTGTAAAATAAATATGTGTGCATTTCTTCATGCATATAATAAGTTAATTTTGTATATAATAATATAGTATCACTATTATTTTAATTAAATTTATGTTTACATGTTTCGTGAGGGTTATAATGTAAGTTGCAGCTTATTAAACAATATGTTGGTACAATTAATATTATTTTGATTTTACCATAAATCTATAAACGTCATTATTTATTTATTTATTTATTTTAATTACAGGGAATCAAGAGATATACGAGTGTGGTGCTCAACAATCTTGGAGAGATATTTTGAAATTATTTAATTCAAATAGTTGAATATTAAATCATTCATAGATAAATAAATATATATATATATATATATACATATACTCCATACACATCTACGGTTGGACCACCTTGCATAATAAAAAAATAAAAAGATTATGAAAAGATTACAAATAATAGTAATAAATACCTATTTGTTTGAAATTGATGTATTTTCTATAAGTATTTATATATATTTTGTAAAATAGGAAATTAATTTTAAATATATATAAATATATTATATGATAAATAATTATTGATTGGAATTGAAGCACATTTTCACCCTTTCTTTCTCTTCTACTTATAAATTACAAATATTTTGGTGCGTAATGTTTTTTTTTTTATTATTTGAAAAATAGTTTAGGTGAGATATTCTGTAAAATAAAAAATATATATATTTTTATAAAAACTAAGATAATTATACAATAAAAAAATAAAAATAAAAACTAAACTCCAAATAATTAGATTGGATTATATAATAAAATTAATTGTTGAAGATGACTTCATCATGTTCACATGTGAGGCAGTGAGGGAGACATGGAATTAAAATTAAATGAGGAAAATAATATGATCAAGTCAAGTCCAAAGGAGTTGTTGACAACGTCATGTCCTTATATGATTAATTATTTTATTATTTTATTGTTATGTAAGTATGTAACGCTCGTTTATTACTAATTTATTACTCCTCCGTCCACGAAAATAAATGTAGAAATACATAAATATTTTATTGAAAAAATAACCAAAGTAATCGAAGATATTTTAAAATTATAGTTAAAAATAAAATAAATAAAAATATATATATATAATAAAATTAGTAATAGTTAAGTATTGATTTGTCAAAATTAGTAATAAAATAAATTTAATAGACTAAAATAATTTAAGAATAAATTATACTTACAATATAAAAAGCATGAAAGAATCACGTGACGTTTCTTTATTTTCTTATATAATAATAACAACAAATAAAAAATTGTACGTAGAGACATTTAAGTCGCAATGAGTTTACAATTTACATTTGTCGTTCAATGTGCATTGAAATCTTACAGACTTTTATCCTTTCCAAGATCACTGCCCAATAGAATTTTTTATTTTTGGGAAGATAGGTTTTTTTAATATATTTTATTACTTTATTACTATTCAATTTTCACGTTTTTACCAAAAATATATTAATTTTTTCATAAATATTATATTAATAATTATACAAATCAAATACACTTATATGTAAAATAAATTATTGCATAAATTAATTGATATTAATATTTTTCAGTTGTCATAAATAGTCTACAAGAATAGATTCACTAATTTGTTGAAAAATATAACATATATAGGGTTTGTTCCCTTTGTATATTTGATTATTATGTTTTTTCTTTATGTTATATATGGTAAATTATATATTCAATATTTATGAATAAAAAAAATATATACGGTATATATCATATATATATATTGTATTTTTTTTAAAATAATATTTATAACAAAATTATGTCATCCAAAAATATTAAAGAAACAAACCCCAATGTGACATATAATTTACTATTCCTTCAATGTATTTAGCATTTATACTAATTAAAAATAAAAATAAAAATAAAAATTCTTATATATTTTTTATTTATATGTTTTATCATTATGTTTGTTTATAAATATGCCACAATAAATTATGTACTTAATTTATTAAAAAATTATTTTATTAGTGTATTCATATACTTATCAAAAAATCTTTATTATATCTTATAATTTACTAATGTAATACCATGTTCATTAAAATTAATATTAGGTTCATTTTATCATATTTTTTCTAAACGGAAAGAGTACTATTTGGACAAAAAATGTAACAAATAAAAATAAAATATTAATTTGAATTTTTGTTCAAATAGTATTTTTGATATAATATTTTATGAAAAAAAATGATAATATATTTTTATTGAAAATGAGATGGATAATGGGATTTCAGTTGAAATTACAAAAAATCACATATTGAATTATTATTTTTTATGAATAAATAAAATATATATTATACCCCATTATATAAAATTATATGTATATATTGTATTTTTTTTAATAATATTTCTTTGGAATTGTGTCGACCCTGGTGAACACACATCGTGTTCTTTTGAAATTTTATTATAATTTTTGTTTGAATATGATTTAATATGATATTTACGTAAGAAAAAATAATATATATTTCTTACATAAATTTAGAATGGAAAAAAAATTAAATATTTAGAAAAGGTCAATTAATGTCACTAGCTATTTACTGTTTTAAAATAATAATATTTCACAATTTACAGAAGCTGCAAATACTCATCGTAGACTCTGTTCACGTCGTCTTCCGACATTGAATCTAAACAATGCACCATCGGCACTGTAAAAAAATCCTCCTCTTCTCCGCCGTCGCCGCCGCCCTGCAGATGAAATAACGGCGGCCACTCCTCAGGGCTTCCACAGCTCGACGTCTTGCTCGCGAGGCTATCGTAGCTCTCAGTCCTCGAAAATAACTCCGACGACGAGACTCTCATCGGTTTCGGCAAATAAACTTTCTTCTCCGGATCAGTTCCGACGGCGCTGCTATTTCCGGCGGCCGGAATATTCTTCTCGCTAGCTCCCAAAAAGCCTCGATTGCGACCGCCGGCGGCGGTGATCTTCTTGAACAGATGAGTGTTCCAGTAATTCTTGATCTCATTGTCGGTTCGACCGGGCAATCTGCCGGCGATCAGCGACCATCGATTTCCGAGGAGCGCGTGGAGCCGTACGATCAGATCCTCTTCGTCGGCGGTGATGTTCCCCCGGACGATCCCCGGCCGGAGATAGTTCATCCACCTCAGCCGGCAGCTCTTCCCGCACCTCAAAAGCCCTAATCAATAATTAATTCATCCATTTAATTATTAATTAATTAAATTATATGTATAGATTATAGATACAGATAGATACAGACCTGCTTTCTTTGGGAGGGATCTCCATTGACCTTCGCCATGTTTGTGAAGATAATCTTTGAGCAGATCGTCTTCTTCAGCTGACCATGGCCCTCTCTTCAATCCCACCTTTGAGCAGCAAGGGGATCTTCCCATTTTCTCTTCTTAATTAATTAATTAATTAAATTCAATTCTCCCAATCTATCAAATTATTGCTATATTTATACACATAACCACGTGGGCTTTTTTAATATTTTATGATAGAGAAAGAGATGCATAAAATAAAGGTAGGGTAGGGTGGGGTAGAGTGGGGTGGGTTGTTAGTAGCAGCCATAGCCATTGATAGCCTCCACAAATAGGGTTATTTGGCTGAGTGATTATTAATTTAATTTATCCATCATTCAAATTTATACTTTATTTATTTATTTATTTTTTGTGATAAAATTAATAATTTTATTTTTTGTTTAAGTAAAAAAATCGTTACATTTTTATTTTTTTTATTATAAAAAATAATTATTATTATTATTTACTTTTATTAAAATTCGTATTCAATCAAATAAGCATATACATTTACACGATTGAAATATTTTTTTTAAAAAAAAAAAACCGTGGTGGGCAGAAATAATAATAATGGAAAATATGAGGACGTTTCTTAAATTTTGTTTGGGTCCGTCCCACACGTTGCATGTATTTGGTGGAAACAATCTCCACCGTTCACCAAACCTACGTTAGATCTCCAAACGTGTCACTTTTTGACCCCTCCTCTAATTATAATTGCACTACTACTACGTTTGGTTTGACATATATATTTCTGATTACTTAAACAAATCAAGTGAATTAAAATTTGGTTCAATTTTTATTTTGTGCTTAATTATAACTAATTTAGAATTATATTTATATTTATATGTGGATTCTAATTTCAAGATATTTAATTTAAATAAAATAATAATCATTTGTCACAATATTACATAACAAAGACTTCCACTCCGTCCATTTTTTTCAATACTGGCCAAATTGAAAGCTCTATTTTCATTAACATTTTTTAAAGAAAAATTTAGCACTATTTATCAACCCTTATTTAAAAATAAAAAAATAAAAATACAAAATTATTTTGAGGTTGATAGATGTGAACATATGCATGTGACTGAGCAGTGACCACAAATAAATAAATAAATAAAAACAATTAGAAAGCAACCATAGCCTAAAATGAGTGACTTCTATGTAATATGTCACTGAATTTCAAGAAATCATTACCCAAATTATGGGATTTTGTGCAATGTAACGTTGAATTTTATTACATACATAATGTCACCATTTAAATAGATTTTATTGTTGAGCTTTGGTTTCGGCTTCACATTTATTGACCTGACCTTTTGGGACAAAATATTTTAACAAAAACCATTAGACCTTAATTTTAAATATTGCAACAAGTACTTTTCAATTGGAATTCATAAAATCTTTTCTTAAATGATACTACTTATAACTAACACATTAATTATAGTTTTAACCAACTTTTTGACTTATAGATTTCATTCCTTTTATTCAAACAATATTTTGGAAGATTGGGAATTCTAAAATAAGTCGATTTCGAATAATTTATCAATGTTAACACGACTAGAAAATCATTAAAGTTAACTTATATTTTTATTTTCAATTATTTGAACTCGATTGAGCAGAGTCTGTTCGATTACAGGTTGAAATACAGATTGACATTACTATGCACCAATTTTTTGTCATTTCAATTATTTTTCCAAGATTTTTAAATTATGATCTCCTTGTGATCTTCTATTTTTATTTATCTCTTCTATATAAATAATTATGTACATTTAAATTATTTTGTTATTTTTTCTTTATAAATTATTTCATATTAATTATGTATAAATATATATATATATACTTTTTATCATTTACTTATATTTCTCTACAAAAATATCGAAAATTGTGTTTCGTGAATGTTTTTAAGTTTCTTGTTTGGGTTTTTACTTTTGCTATTCAGCAATGCTAAATAATTTTCAATTAGTGTGACATATACCTATGTATACACATATATTTTTATTTTTATTTTCTAAAAAATATATTAAAATATTTATTTGAAGTATATATATTATTAAGATGAGATCTTCGGCCCCATTCTCCAAGCCCCACCAGCCTCATGTAATACATGTGTAGATATATATATATATATATATACATATAGATGTATATCTCATCCCATATTATTGGAAAGTCTACATGAAGAATTTGGGCCAAGGCCCAATTTAGGCATATAAATGTATGGACCAGGTTCCAAATGTATTTGCATATTCATTTAGATGACTCTTTAGACTTTCTTTACATATATTCACAATTTATTTTTTGATATTAAAAGTCTTAAAAATATTACATTAAATATATAATATATCATAAAATATTTTATCAAATATTTAAATTTTTTTAATTTACTAAAAATTTCAAATGTCTAGATGTGGTTTTTCATCAAGTTTTTTTTTTTTGTTTTTTAGGATCACATTAAATATTTATTTATTTAAAATACTAAATAAAATTTCTTCATTAAAACATGATATTAAAATTTCATTTTAATTTTATTTTTATTATTTACATATTAATTAAGATACAAAGATTAAACATTCCAACTGATCTTATATATTACTCCGTCCCACATAATTTGTCCCTATTTTCTATTTTCGTCCGTCCCACATAATTTGTCTTTTTCTCTTTTTGAAAATTAATTATACACTTTAATCATATTTTAAATTTTAAAATTTAAACTTTTTTTTTTAATTTTAATTAAACTATTTAGTTATCTTAATTTTAATCTAATTTTTACTAAATAATTATTATTTTTACTAATATATTTCTTAATTACTTACTAATTATACTTTACCTAAATTCTCGTGTTTACGGTAATACATCCATATTTAGATGGGACGGAGGAGTAATAAACACCCTTATCATCGGACTTATGTTGATTTTCATGATTTCCCCATTAACTGTACATATGAAATATAGAAATAATACAAATTTTTATTTAATACTCCCTCCGTTTCATAAAAAAATATTCATTTACTTTTTACACATAGTTTTAAAAATATTAGTATTATATTGAGATACAGTAGAAATAAAATAGAAATAACTAAAATAATCTTATTAGTATATGTAATGTAAATATAATGACATTTGTATAATATATTGTAAGTTGTAAGGGTGAGACGAATTAAAATTGAAAAAAATGGATACTTGAGACAGAGGGAATACAATACACAATGTGTTAAACAAAAATGCACTTCATGTATTGAAATTAACAGTAGATTATATTGTCTTTGATTATATAATTATATTTAATATATATTTTTAAAAATTTTAACATTATTTTTACCATTTACATTGATAAGAAAAAATATTTTTTAAACAAAATTTCAAATAAAAATTTAAATTAAATATAAATAAAAAAAATTATATTTTGATGTAAAATTTTGTATGTAATTGCACGATAAAAATATGAATTTAATGTAATATTGTAAATAAAGAGTGATAATGTATCTATCTGATCTGACACAAACTTGCAAAGTCATAAAGTACGTTAAAGCATCCATAAAGGTAAAGCAGGCAGCCATTCAAACGTTCTTTTCCCTGCTTTTTAAGCCACTATCTATCTCTCTCTCTCTCTCTCTCACACACACACACCTTCCTTTTTTGTATACTCCTCAAATCAAATAATATGACACCATACTTCTATTTTATGTGCTTAAATTGTCTGTGTTTCAACATCTTTCACAAAGTGAGAAAGCATCATCATATCTGACCTGATCACTCAATTCTTGATCGATGCTCAATGTTTCTCCACTGATTCTTCATTCACAGCCCTTTTGTTTCTTGTTTTGGTTTCAGAGCACAACATAGTTTGATCATGGAAGGAGTTGATGAGACGACAAGTTCTTGGCCACAGGAGAGAAGAACAAGGCATCGCAAGCTCGGCCGGTCCCTAAACTGTCCCCGCTGTAATTCTGGCAACACCAAATTCTGCTACTACAACAACTACAGCCTCTTGCAGCCACGCTATTTCTGCAAGACTTGCCGGAGATACTGGACTGAAGGAGGGGCACTCAGAAACATACCTGTCGGAGGCGGTTCGACAAAGAACAAGAGGCCATCATCAACGACGTCCTCATCATCGTTGTCGTTGACTTTGTCTGGTCATTCCAAGAAGCTACCTGATTTTCCAGCCCTTAATTCAATCCCACAGCAAAACTCTAGTCTTGCAACCCCACAAGAATTCATGGCTTCGAGCTTTCGTTATGGGCTCGCGGCAACAACTCCGATGATGAGTCCTTTCTTGCCATTTCAAGGCTATGCTGCTGCTGCTGGTGGTGGTGGTGGTGGTGGTGGTGGTAGTGATCATTTCAGTACAGTTTCTCCATTTGGGTTCAATAATCATCGTCTTTTACCTGATGATGAAACGATCAGGCCTTCTCTAGGGCATGGCTGGATTGGCGGGAGTAATCCCGGCAGCTTCCAAGGGGTGCAGCAGCCAAATGCAAAGCCTTTTTCTTTATTTGAAGACTTGAAGCTGTAGATGTCATCTTAGCAGCAGAAATAAGATGTATAAACATGGGGATCTACATATATATATAATTGAAATATGATATGTTCATCCACAGCCTTTTCCAACTACAAAACTGTTAGAATCAAAATGAGTGAATTCAACGCCATCGCCATCATCATCAAGTGTGCAATTGAGCAAATATGGAATCGATCCGAATGAGTGAATTCTTGCTTTGATTAAACTGTTTGGTGTTTCATTATATATGTATGTTTCTATACTCTGCTAGCCTAGGTCTTAACTAGATTGAACTAACCACCCAAACAGGGTTAAACGAAGCAGAAAGAAAGGCTCACGACAACAAATAAAAACCAAGACATTCTGTTAAGTTCAGGAAAAAGATCACACACTACTTTAGGCACCTAATGGTGAAATCTTAGATATATTCTAAGTTCTTTCTCCCAAATGTAAACTATAATCACTAAGAAACATGACACCAAAACCTTTCGGCACTCCAAACTACGTACTCGATGTTATCGTTTTCCCTAGTATATATGGTTCAAATAGCACTGAAGTGTCGATTTAAGGACTCAATACAAGATAGGAACCATATCTAAGCATACAACCCCTAGGCAAGTTGGACAAACAGTTAGATTAACAGAAGCCAGATCCACATGTAACATTGAAATATGTATATGGAAATTGAATATATGGAACAAAGCTTTACTTCAAGAAAATTTCAATTTGCATATCCATGTTTTTTATCAGGGATCACAATGGTGTGCAATGTGGAAACCCAAAAAATTAAGAATATTGATAATTCAAAATGCATACAGAATGCAGACTCTTGGGTCTCTTTTCTCGAAAGAATATTCTTATACAATACCAGCCGCTAGAACTTGGAACATCAACAGACTGATGAAGGATATGCAACCCATTAGGAATATAAATATGCTACTACAGCTCTGTTGTAAAATGAGGTAAAACCGGAATATAAGAAATAATTGTGAAGCTAAATCAAACTCCAGAGTTGAATTGCAAGTTCATACAGAAAATATCCAGCTTCTGAGAGGTTTAGCAAATGATATCCGAATTACCCTTTCCAGTTCCTTTGCTGAGAACTATGAAGAGATGTATCAACCAAGAATTTTTAGCAAAAGTGGGATATTTGATGGGTTGGACTTAAAGTCATTGGTTGATTCCGAAGATACGGACTTTGTGCATGTTTGGAAATTTGGCCACCACAAGAATAAAGACAGCCAGAGTGTTGAAGAACAGCATTGGATGTTGATAGTCAGTCGTGTGCGATGCTATTAGATACCTGCAAAAAGAACATGGAAGGATAGATATTAATGTGTGGGTAAAATAAGTGGGGTTTTACCATTCAAGAAAACTAAAAAAATCCAAAGTGACTCACTTAAAAAGCTTCGTATTTTACAGATGCAAGTTCAAATGACAATGGAAGTTATGGTATTTACTGGGCCGCATTGCAACAGAAGTTAATTAAAAATTCACATCAATCATCATGACCAATGCTTTAATGTTGCAGTCAGGCTGTTAAAAGGAAAAAATAAAAATAAAAAGGAATGATCTATCCAATTAACTATTCCAAATGATTCAGCAACAAAATAAGTGCAGTTCGTAAAGCATATATTTATTTAAAACATATAGGTTGTTAAATGAAGACAAAGAGATGCTGAAAGTGAGTTAATACTGGCCAGAGCTTGAAACTATGAGAGCACTTGCAACATGAAAGGGGCCAAGTACTTCACATTATTGTCTCTTCAGATTGCCTTGTGGACAACACTACCACAATAACCAAATGAAAATAGAATAAATTTACAGTATGAAAACTTAGATTTCTGCGTCAAAGTCAAATAGATTAATGAATTACCAAAAACAAAATTGCTGCCAAATTTTCACATATCGATAGTCAGTCTTAAAATATCAAATTTTTATAACGTAAATGACATGATTTATTGTGGATTCCGAGGAAAAGTGATTTAACATCGAAAGGGTGAGGAGTGTAGATAGGAATCTAGATAAGGAACACATTACGTGTCCCAGTCCACCAAACACTCTCTTCCATCGAGTGTGAAATGCTTCAAACAAGATGGAACTTAAGCTAAGATGAAACAGAATAATCCCAACTATGAAGTTCACTCCCATAAAAAGGTGCCGACTTACCACAGGCACAAAAACTAACCCATGAATTGATTCAACTACATCATTGCAACACTTAAAATAGCCTAACAATCAGCATCAGAACACAAAATTACTGAGAGAACAGAAAATTGAAAAAGGAAATCGTGGTGATACTTACAGCACTACAGGGACAACCGTCAGAAACTTCCTATTGCGAGTGAGCTGTTTGCCACTGTCTACTTGTTCCCACCATGTCAACCCATTATAGATGCCTTGATCATCTGCAAAAGGTGTCCCCTTCTTCCAATGGAAGAAATGATAAGTCACCTGCCACAAGTATATATTTTTTTCAAATATAAGCACACTTCGAACTGCAACAAGACCATAAAAGAATTGAAATGAAAAGTTTCTGTTATTTCACAGTAATATTCAGAAATAATATATGTACATAATAATTTAAACAAAAGACATTTTTCTGACTTAATATATGACTGTGAAATTGGCAGAATGTAACAATAATGAAATGGTGGAAACTACAGCCCCGTAATCAGATTTCTCAAGGTACAAATTTGCCTCTAGTTGAAATCCAACATTAATTCAATCATAGGAAAAGTAAAAAGGATACACAACCTGTCAAAAAAACATAACCATACTCAAATCCCCAAAGATAACCCTAGAGATTTTTGGCTTCATAGAATCCAAAAACTATTAAACAAGCTCCAGCAATCAACACCAACAAAATATCATATAACACATACAAGGAACACAAACGAATCAAATAAAGAGAGATAAAGAAACAAATAAAAGTTGAAAGATGAACAAGAATCAAAGAATTTACAAGGAAATGTGAAAGATGAACGATGGTCCACGCCATGCCTGGGGAGCACCCGAAAACAGAGAGCACCACCAGCCACGAGAAGAACAATATGAGGATGTATGAGGTCCACACGCCGGGGTAAGTGAACCACTCCGTATTCCGATTCAGATCCGTCGTCGGCACCGCCCGCACGTACAAATTCGCCATCCCCCGCCGAAATCCCAACTCCAATTTCTCCGATTTGTATCAATATCACGCTGATTTTTCCCCTCTTTTTTCCGATAATCGACTACACCAAAACTGACCAGAACAAGAAATTTTGGTGCAAAATTGGGCGACGATCAAAAAGCATGTGACCCAAACTTGGCTTCCCCTACGCTCATTCCTTTGACCCCACGCTTCTCTCTCTTAACTGCAAGAACTAAAGATACAAAGTTAAATAAATATTTTAATTTATTTATTAAATATCAGAATTTGATGCCAACTTGGTGTCGTGGTGTAGTTGGTTATCACGTCAGTCTAACACACTGAAGGTCTCCGGTTCGAGTCCGGGCGACGCCATTGTTGTATTTATTTTCATTTTTTAATTGGGCTGTCGGCCCATCGGCTATTATTTGTTTTGTTATTTTTATGGACCTATGGCCCATTGGACTTTGGAATTGATTTTAATTGTCACTTTGCTAATACTAATAATAGCCACTAATTTATATTTTATGTAAAAGAAAATAGACAACTGTCTGCCAGCTGGCTTTATTTGTAAACAACCAAATCAAAGCTTTACAAGATCATTGAATGTAAAAAAGGGGAAATTTATGTATGTATAAAAATGGATTCTTTTTTTCTTGCCGACAAAACAAATGCTTCGATCCTATTTCAAGGTAATCGAGTAATCTCTCATGACACAATCAAATAAACAATGCTCAAAATCCATAGCCGTTACTTTTTTTTTTTTTTTACCACAGACCTACACAGCAACCAAGAAAGCCAAAATCACAGCAGCTGCAACAGACATGAAGCAAAGGGGCATCTTCAGAAATGGAGAATCAGAGGAAGAAGGAGAAGACTGTGCAGGAATGGATCCAAAAACAGTGGGATAAGATGGGGCAGCAGCTGGGCCATCTGCTGCTGATCCCACAGCTGATCCATTTCCATAGAGTACAGAGATGTGGAGCTTCTGAGATTTCTGGCAATGGCCCTCAACCCCACTGATGAAATAAAAGTGGCCAGGCTTGGTGAGATTGAAGAGTGAGTTGCCATCATCCATCAGCAAGATTGGATCTTTAAGGTTGCAGCTGTTGTAGGAATCCCCTGTCACTTGGATCACTGAATCTTGGCTTGGAGGGTAGAGGAAAACTACAGAGAAAGGTAATTATCAAGAAAGTATGAAAGTAAATGAATGGGGATTTGTGGGATCTACTAGATTGACTTACAGAGAGAGTCTCCAATATTGAGGGTGTGGAGTTTGGACCATTTGGTGTAGACTTGGGGATTTGAGTGAGAGGGGATGTTCCAAGCATCCAAATCCCCTACTTGGTAAATGCTGCACAAGATCTTATGGCTTTGGAGTGAGACAAGGAAGAGAAAGGAGTACCAGAATTGGAAGAACATTGGAGCTTTGGAAATGGCCATTCAATATGTTGAAGCCCTGTTGCTCTTGAAGTCCTGTTGTCATGTAATAGAGATCAATTAAAGAGAGAGCATAGAATTTGAGTGGGCATATGTATATTTATAATGTTAGCCAGATGGGTTCTGGATGTGGTGAATAATAGGTAAAGTTAAGAATGTAAAGATTTGACATTTATGATTGACATGGAGACAGGCACCGGCACTCTTGTTGTTACTTCTTTGACATTATTCAATAATACATTAAAGGGGAGGAAACAAACACACAACACAACAATATATATATATATATATATATATAAAGAGAGAGAGAGAGAGAGTATACATACAGGTATAGGGGGGGGGGGGGGGGGGGGGGGCAAAGGGTGTTGTCCAGATCCAAAACCTAGTAAATTATGATGAGAGAAGATGCCCACTCCAAAATACACACAAATTTCTGAAGTCTTTTCAATTAATTAAACATAAAAATACTAAAAAAGTATCATGTTTGAAGGAAACACCAAGTTGTCAAATAATAAGGGAGGACAGTGCTTCTAACATGCTACAGGCTTAAGAGATTAGAAAAAAAAAAACAAAGAGGCTGGGCTGTGGCAAGGCATTCTAATGACATGGCATTCTCATAACCTTTCTAAGTATTACTGTTCTTTGTTTGAATCTCCGTTGGAATCCTCATCTTTATTCAAGGATTTGGGATCTTGCTGCGGAGCAGCCCACTCTCGAATCTTGTTCCGGTAATGTTCTTCTGCAGATGGCAAGTTGTGGAAATCTTTTCGTTCCTCGCTCTGCAAAGCAACGAGAGGTAAGATAAAAATAAGAGCGTAAATGACATCTGTCCCTATGTGTCGATGCTTATTTTGGGTTAGGAAATACCTCTCTTGAGATGCTGCGGCTAAAAAACTGGAAGCCCTGAATGTCTCCATTTTTAATGCTGGCTTCTAGCTGCAATCAAAAAGGTTGCTGAATCAAGTCCATGAGGTCAGGAGAATCCAAAACTTCCAAGAGATAGTTAAAAAACACCACCTGAATGTGAGCAAGGCAGAGGAGAATGCTAGCAATTGGCAGCCAGCTATCCTCGGGAGATATAGATAGATTTGTCCTAAAGCAGGAACGGCAATTCTACTTCAGGCCAAGTAGGATTTGTATGAATTTTACTAAACATGCAAATGTGATTCAAGGGAATCATTCCCGCAAGATAGCCAATTCAAACATTGAAACTAGAGAATGCAAAGTAGTGGACTTTTTTTTATGAAAGAATTTCAAATACTGATAAAAGAGTTCATAAAACAAGCAAACAAACAAACACTGACAAAAGAATGCAGAAATATTAGCATGCCTTCTGTCTCCCTTAAGAGATGCATTTGAATTTTGAACCAACAAAATAAGGGAAAATATACATCATCATAATTCATCATGGAGCATTTAACATATGCAAACGGCTTAAAATCCCATATAGTTATCCATTATGTTTTTTTCAACATTCTTTTACATGTAGGCAAGGTTCGATTCTCTCCCATGAGCAGGCGAGAACATATCTACTATATGGTTCAACAAACAAAGGAAATCACCAACTGCAACCACATAATGAAGTGAATTATCTAAGATATTGCTAATCCTACCATTTCCTTTCTTGTATTGGAAAAATATATAATCAAATTTCTTGAAGAAATATTGTCCAATGGAAGAATTAAGAACTACTAGGGCAAATTTAAGAGTCAAACCTCAAGTAAGGAAGCAAATAGACAATAGCATAAACAGCATAGCGCCGCTTTCCAGTATCCAACCAAGCAAATACCCAACTCTACACCAAACAACAAGCATATTTCAACATAGTTGCACATAAACTATATGTACCAGCACAAATACTGGATTTAATCATCGAAAGACGTAGCGGAAAATTATGTACCATCCAATTGAAATAAGGAATGAAGCCAATGATCCCCATAACAGCAAACCTCGCGTCGGTCGAATCAATCAGAGATTCAGCTTCAGCATCCTCCGGCGGAGGAGCCGCCGGAAGAACTAGCGAGCTTAGGATGCAAGCGCCGATCGCGGCACCCACCGGCGCTTCCAGCGAAAATTCCGCCCTGCACTCGCCCTGCCTCGACTTCCTCTGAATCAAATCCATAAACAGAGAAACGCCAGACATTCCATAAAGAGTACAAAGAATCAATCCATGTAAAAACAAATACCTGCTTGAGCCTTTTGACTTGCTTATATCTGGTGTGTATAGGTCTGAGCGTCGGCAAACAGCACGGCTTAAGTGAGAGGGAAAACGACGGAGATGAAGTGAGACGTAAGGATATCATCGGATAGAAGTAGGCAGCGGTGGCATCCAAGGCGCGGCCGGCGGCTGTGGTCGGAGGTCCGCCTACTGTCGCTATTGTAATTGTATACGGTAATTTATTGTACGGAAAAGAGTGCCGTTGGCATGTGAAAGAATGATGCGATTCCTATTGGGTATATATAGCGACAAAATTTAAACTAATAAAATTAATAATAATACTTTTACTTATAAAATAAAAAAGGAAAATTCACTAGTATTAAAAATAAAATCGATACATTTTAGTTATCTTTAAAAAAAAAAAAAAAAAAAAAAAAATTCATATAAAATATTTTATTAATTCCTTTTATATAATAGCACTGAAAACAACAATAGCCAGCAAAATTATCATCTATATTCACAGAACATCAGTAGGAACAAGGCATTTTTGGCCAGGCCAAAAGATACAACATAATCTACAGGGGACACACCACAGGGTAGAAGATGCCTGTGTGATATTTTCTATCTCTACTAGAGAGAGAGTGACCAAAAATAATACACACAAATGGATCTTTCTCAGGTCACAGTACAACACCATCTGCACAATACACTTTCAGCTTACGTCAAACCGAATAAATAACCTGAATATACCTTCCCTCGGGTAATTGTGTTTCCTCGTTGGGATGCCCGACTCTTGTAAATGGAAAGTCGGGGCAATGTCGCTTTCACTTGTTCCTACACTGTCAACCTGTGGTGAAGATTAGAGGTTTATGAAGGGAAGCAAATTTGGAATGTGTAAGATTTGCATTGAAATCCGAGGCTTCGTGAAGAGGCTATAATTTGAAGACTGTTTCGAAAATCATGAATCTCTGCATCTTCTATCTCCTTCGACTTCATGTGGAGCCATAGCATTTAGTCGCTGCTGCAACTGCAAGTGAAATGACCATTACGGGTAAGGCATCGAACAATTTATAGCAACTCATGAGGTGGAATTAATTCAGATTCAAACAAGATAGGTGCTAATAAAACTGACTTGCATGTACTTCAGTTTTTCGGCAGTTAGTTCTTCAGTCAAGGTATTCATCCTGCAGGCATGGTAAATAAGAGAGCTTAGATTCTTAGAGATGGAAGATAAATGATACAGTGAGTTTTCGGAAAAAGGCACCTTGCTTGAAGTTCCGTTATCTTCATAAGCAACATCTTTTCCCTTTCAGAAACAATGATATCAACCTGTACATAAGAAACGTGTCTGGTATTGATTGTAGTGTTGGCATTTCAGTCTACGACGTAAAGTATGAGAATGTAAACAAGACAAGCCAACGAAATGCATTAAATGTTCAAAAGCTGAAGATTGTGCAATGATACAATATAAATCAAAATCCAGCATTCGATGAGGATGAGAATTATACATCAAACTAGGGTCGAAGCACATCATTACTACTGTAGCTTACACTGCGTTAGATGAAATGATATACTAAGGTTGCTTTGATCCTTAATCTGACAAACATTCTAGAACCATAGCCAAAGTCCTACTCCTATAGATATAAGTATGGGATATGCCATGCCACACTGCACATTCGATGAGTATGCTACTAGTTAATGATGAATTGTGTGGATATTTAGGTTGTGTTCTTCTGTGAATTTCTCGAGATTTTCCACTATTCAATTAATATTTTTCCATAAAAGACATCAAATCAAAAGTCTATTTTTCAATTTTTATATTATACTAAAAATCAAATTTTACATTAAAAAAATCACATGAAACATTTAGTCAAATTCAATAATGTCTGAACTCAAGTGCACTTACATTGTCTGAACTCTGAGGTAAAGGAGGTAGCTTCCCATTTTCAGGAGCTGGAGAAGACAAACAAACAAAGTTACACAAATCTTTATTCCTTCAGTTATATGAGAAAACAAAACAATTAAAATTTCAATGTACCGTTTTCCACTTCAACTGTTTGAAAGCTACTCAATAAATTCACTATAAGATCCTGCAGTTAAAAATTAAATAAGGAATAAAAGAATCACATTAAGCTTGATGAAGTTCAGCACAATAAGACAGCACAAGCACACTCCGCAAGATATAAATGGTATTCCAACATATCTTACTTGTTGAATTGAGGTTTGTTGAAAGAGGTTCTGAAGGTGGGGCAAGAGAACTGAGGCCGGCAAATTACCATTGCTCAGGTCCTTGGGTGAATGGCTGTGGGGCTGAAAATCAAGAACAATGACATGATCAAATTGTAAAAAGCTAAGGAATCAAAATTATGGGGAAGAAGTAGAGACAACAAATGAAAAATGGATTAAAATTTTAAACTGTTTTTAGTTTAAATATCAATAATGCAGAGGCAGTGAACTAACCACTTGCTTAGATTCAACCATCCAGTTTCCGACGCTAGCTGATTTCTTCAGTGGTGACACCTGAGAACCATATTAACAACAAGTGAATAGAGGACAAAACAACCTCATCGTTTAAACAAAGGCAAGAGACACCATCTTACCTGAGAGCCTCGTCGAGAAACTGAAGACAATGGAATATCCTGGTATATATGTCTGAGTGAGTAAGATTCACTAAATGCATCTCAAATACTGCAACAATGACGACTTACCTTTACAAGATCTACATTTTCAGAAGTCACAGAGAAACGACCTTTTATTTGTACAAAATTTGTTTTTGATTTGTCCTCAGAAGAATCTTTAAAACCTAGAATATGAAAATGAACTTATGTAAGAAGCTTCTAAGAGAACTGCCACATGTAACATTCTAGTAAGTCTTCATGCTAAGGTGAAACTCAAGCAAGCATACTTACTTCCTGAAGATTTAATTGGTGCTGATAAACTATTTGCTGAAGCACGATTAGGCAGGTTTAGAGGACCACTGTAACTGGGAGCTCTTCGTACTGGCTGAACCTTCTCCACCTTTTGATTTTCATTCTCAGATCTGCCAAACAAGTTTTTTCTTTACATAATTATTTCACAAGGTAGAATAGTTCGTTGTAAAATCATGAATTGCAGTTGAGAGTAAACAAATCAACAAGCATTCAAAATTTTAAGAACTCTCCTAAGAAAAAGAGGGGGGGGTGGTTGTTCAATATACAGAAATCATATTAGAATTTCTATCTGAATAATATTAGAATTTGTTGTGAAAACAATTTCAGGATCTCTTTAAGGCAATCAAAGGTAAAGATACAAGAGTACAAAACAATCCTACAACAGATTTGCAGCTTACACACTCAAATACCAGCTATAAAACTCTCATCAGCATTTTAAGTGGATTCTAAATAACTCATACTCCTAAGCATGAAAAACATAAAGTCTAGATGTAAACAATCAAGCAATAATATTAAACCTTTCTAAGTTGCGTGGTCTTTCCGGAATCGAATGACTTAGCACAGTACCAGGCGCAAGTGGTCCACTTTGAGTCTGGCGAGGCCTGCCAGTTTGATTTCTAATCTTGGTTGTTGTATCTTTCTCCACCATTGGTTGTGTCAGATCAGTTATTGATCCACTCCTTTTCATTCCAGTTTTCCCTCGATAGTCATGTTCTGTTAGATCACTTTCAGATGCCTTCCCCTTCTTTGCATGATTCTCAAGTCCAGACACCTCAATACCATTTGTTTTTTCTCTGTCGGATCTAGGATACAGACCATAAAACATGTTCAGAAAATCTTAATTGGTTTAGAGTATAAGATGATAAATGATCATCATATATTATAATAGTGTTACAATTTGATGTTGTCTTCTTCTTCCTTGGTTTCTTGCATTTCATCCTCGTCTTCCAGCTGCAAAGTATAAATAGCTGTATGTATCACTTATAACTTTCAAAAATAAATGTCAAAGATTTCACATAATTCCATCATACACATACCAGAGAAGCTTGAAGCTTTAAATCCTCAACATCAAAATTCCATGTACTTACTCCTCTCTGATACTCACTCTGAAACAAAATATACAGATGTTCATATATCATGACAAGGACGATAGAGACTTTCATACTCCCAGAGACAGTTAGATACCAAGGAGATGGAAGAGTCCATTATGAGTGTGCTTGAGACTATAGACAATCCATTAAAGTTTTAGATATACATTTGCAAAAAAGTAATCCGAACTTGAGATTAACACTGAGACAAGTTAAAAATTGTGTAATATTTGATATATATGTTGTCTATTACTAGAAAGGAGAAACTAGAGGAAAAAGATAGCAATATGTCATAGCATATTTCTCAGAACCACCAGACAGAGAAGTATAGATAGAAATAGCTTCTAATTGTTTTTCTACCTGAGATATAGCTTCTTGCTCCGCTGATGGCATTCTCTTCAAGGCAAGTTGTGCAGCATCTTTCAGCTGCATCCAATTAAAACATTTAAGAGTATAAAATTGAAAAGTTCAGCACCTGCTAATTTGAGCTTACTAAGCATACCTGCAAGTCTTTAACACGCTGTGCCAATGGTGGCAAGTTTGCAAATAATTTTTTCACTGAAGCCTCAGGAGGCTTAGCATTCTTAAAAAAGGAATGTTTTAATAACTTTTCTGCTGTCGGTCTCTTTGTTTGATCTTTTACCAAGCACATAGCAACCATTTCTTTAAAAGACTGCTCAAAATCAAAGATAGTTCACAAAATAAAAACCTGTAATATTTGTATGCATGTTCAGTTGAATGTCTCCTTAAAATATCACAAGTACCTTAGAGAACCTTTTATCTCGATCATAATCAAGTCCAGGCGGAGCATTTTGTATGGTCATTAGCAAAACCTAATAAAAGGTTTATACAGACATAATAAGATTCACAGCAGCAGCCACATGTACAGTGTTTTGGCCTAATATGCATACCTTCATGGGAGGATATTTTGAAAAGGGGGCATGCCCATGAGCCAATTCTAGGGCAGTGATTCCAAATGACCAAATATCGGCCCTGAAAATTCAATATTAAGAAGTGATACAAATCCCACCAAAAGGTAATCGCTAAATTTAGAGATTATCAAGGAAGTTTTGCAAAAAGACAACATGAAATAGCATCAACCCAACAAAAGGAAACTTAATACACAAATGATACCAGATAAATTATCTATATTCGATCTACTTTAAATTATTATAATCCGAAGGCCATGGCAATTTACACCATAGAATCAAAGAGCAAAGAATTCATTTTCAAGTCAATGGACAAAACACCTAATCAGTGAAGATGTCTCACTCTTATGCATCTATATTTCTGGCAAATTAACACCAGAAATCTTGTCAACACCTTAAAAGTCAAGTTAACCTCTAGTGGTTAGGGCCATGAATCAATTGTCACAATCATTAAATTCATATATGATATATGGAGTAAGACCTACTTGAAATCATATCCAGTTCCAGGTTGTAAGACTTCAGGGGCCATCCTGTGAAAGTGAGACAGAAGAAGATATAAACACAGTATGAAGAGATAAAGCAATGAACACAAAGAAGAAGAAGAAAGTGTACCAGCATGGAGTTCCTACAAAAGTGTTCCGTGAACGCTGCCGATCACCCCGATCAAACATACAAGCTGAGACACCAAAGTCAGCAAGCTTCACTTCACCATCACTATCCATTAATATGTTTCCTGCCTGAACATTAATATTTAATAAAAGTTAAACCGATTAAATTCAGGAGGGTCCGAAGATAGACAAATCTGAATATATATATTTTGAACAACTTCACGATTGCAGGATTGATTAACCTTCACATCACGGTGGATCTGGCCATGCAGATGAAGGTATGCCAGTGCTTTCAAAGTTTCTTTTAAGATGGACCCAATAGCAGATTCTTCAAACCCTTCTGGATATGCTGTCTTCATGAGATGCAGGCAAGAACCCTCAGCCATAAAAGGCATCACCACCCAAAGGTTGTGTTCAACAACAAATGAACAAAATGCTCTGATGACATTAGGATGATCGATCAAACTCATTGTCTGAGCTTCCCTGCGTATATCATCCTGCCGAAATGTGCAACAATTTCATTTCACTAAATGATCTGGGATAACAAGGATAAGACTTCTGCCTTTCACCATTGCAAATATAATCATTATAACATATTTATATACTATTTAAATCAATTCAATATATAACATAAATACGAAATCAATCAAAAAAATATACATACAACAGGCTCTTATGACTTGCATGATTGTACACACAAATGCAGTTACCTGGAACGACAATTCTTTTCAGGCAAGCACTCAATTATAGCGCCACATGAAGCAAAGCACAATCAACTATGATACTGCCAGTTGGCAACATTAAAGGCTCTGAAGTGATAGAGAGATGTCCTTAAATGAAAAAGTTTCCATAAGTTTCCTTTTGCAAATTACATTTTGAAACAGAACTATGATAGCTTGCTTTGAGTAACAGATTGATCTTGTAAAACTAGTGACATAAAATAACTATGCCATACAAAGTTAATGATCACTTAAGGAAAGGTCTATGGTGAATCAATGCTTTATGTCATGTTATGAAATTATGATAATACAATTCCAATAGGAGCATACCATCAATAATCATTAATAGTCACGTTAGGCTACAAGAGGTCACTATTTGATAGGGGACTGATACCATACAAACTATTGCCTACTTGCCTCAAGTTTGTGGTTTATTTGCAAATTCTATTGCTAGGTTCTTCTATGGTTTCAACACATGCGTACACACACAACACATGCTATGAATGTGTATTATTTTACATATTTGGGTTATGAAAAAGCAGTAAGAAAAGACTGAAAAATGTTTAGTGAAGGATAAATAACGCAAGTTGATCATGAAAACCAAATCATTACACATTTCATCAGTTACTTGAATATACATTTATAATAAACAAAAAATCAATGAAATAGTGGTGCTAGATTCCTAGTGCAAAAAACAGACTTCACTCTCTGACCACTTTTCTGCTGCTTCTCCTCCAGATCTAAATCGTTAATTTTATCATTTGGTGACCAAGCATTATATCAAAGCCTCATTTAATGAAAGCCTCCCACCATGACAATTGCTATATTTACAAACAGAAAAAGGATGGCATAAGGTTAATGAGATAGTCATTCTATAAGGTAGCTTTCTACGCAAGTCGTTACGTATACGTTAAATTTATGCTATTTCAAATACATCATTATTAGAGAGAGCGCACACACAGACAAAAAAAAAAAATATCTTCGAAATTTGAAATTGGTTCAGGAAATCCGCAAACAATGCCAAGCAATAGTTGATTCAGAAGGTATAATGTTAAACCACTGATATATGACAGTGCTAGCCTTAATACTTGAACTCCTATCTCTCACCAATTACTGTGTTCCTTCCTACACAGCAAACGTGGAATGGAAGCAAATTTACTCCGTAATCTGGTAATTGGTCAGATGAAGATGTCTCATATACCCATTGACACACGAAAGCTTTAAACTATAACAGCTTCACATCTATTGTACCCACGATTAAAGTTTTAAAATTTTTTGTTGCGGTCAGAAAGTCATCATTGACAAAGTCATGACTTCAAGATCATTAGTCAACTTAGCGCTTCACATAGAAGGATTCATATTACAAAGACAAATTTCTCAAGAACCATTCTTTCAGAATCTATACGTATCAACAGAATTCTCTAGACAAATAGTAACTTTCAAATCAAACAAAAGGCGTACACTTTCACTAAACCAACCCCTAATCTCCTGCATCCTTTGCATTAAATATATCAAGATACCATTGGCACTAACAACACATTATATAGCTTCAAGCTTGGAATACACAACTTGATCACAAGCTCAAAATACCCTCCAAACACCATGAAACAAAAACGGCAGCAATTCAACAGTCACCAACTCTCGACTACTGAAATCAATTCAATGCTTTAAATTTCAATCAAACCAACTAATAAACCTCATCCAAGATCTCAATCTGCCCAAACTAGCTCAAACCTTAAAAGTCAAAACAATATTGTCAAAAACCTTCTCACACAAAACAAACTGAAAATCAAACTCCAGAAATCACACCAAAAGAAAGCGGAAATGCGAGAACCGAACAATCACAGACCAGGTTGCTATTGCAGCGATCGAGATCCAAGCACTTGACCGCCACCACTTCATTCGAAGGCAAATGGATCGCTCTGTAAACAGTCGCGCTCGCACCATATCCTACCTCGTCTAGAAGCTTATAATCGTTCGGCTTCGCCGAGTAACTCCTCCCCATTTTTTCCTTCCCTCAATCAGCAGCACTTCCAAAACAACCATCAATCAGCACCACTTTCCAAAAGCTTTCCGATTGCTTTTTTGTCTGGATTCGCTTCGCTGCTATATCTTCTCCACTTATCCTAAACAATAATTGCCCGATTTCTGTGCGGACAGTGAGTGCCTGCCTCCAGATATGGACTCTGTTCAAAGTCACTCACTCCTCCTCTTCAAGTTCTCTGCTTTTCTCTCTCTTCCTCGTGTGCTGTTGTCACGAATTCAATACTCAGAATTATAGCGATATTCTTCCGACTGTGGTTTGTTTTTTCGATTCCCATTTTTTCCCGTTTCCTATTTTTCCATTTTTAATGTTCCCGAAATTATAGCGATATATAAGTATATACTACATATATTGTATGTATATATATATATATTTTGAGGAGTTGACTGAACTGCAGAGTCATACGACAGGCGACGAAGGTGCAATACCCTACAGCGCAGAACAGAAGTCGGGTTGCGACGGTTGTACCTTTCTTGTAATCTGTTGTACGTTGTACGGCGAAGAAAGTTACTGGTGTATGGTAAGTTTGGGGTGGGGTAGATGCAGAGGATCATTATTACCTTTTTGTTTTTTCACTTTGTGAGTGTGTCACGGGTGATGCCACGTGGACGGCTAGCGATGGAGACTGATGCGGGACCCATCGCCACGTGCTGTTCACTATTAGTGTTGGCGAGGAATATTCGGACGGTTTTCCGTATTATTAGTATATATTAATTTATGCATTTCTATGTGTATAAATTAGTTAGGAAATTATTTTGATTTATTAGTATAGTTAGTAACACGTTTGCCCTAAGGAAGACACAAGATTATACAACAAAAACATATAGGCATGTATATAGAGATACAATGAATTTTTCTTATTAGCACTTATCTGTTTCCAAAACAAACAAATAATGATTAAGGTTTAGAGATGGCCTAAGGGTGAATTTGTGATATTTTTAGATAAATAAATAAAACTTTATATGACATTTTTAAGAAATAAAAATTAAAGATAGTGCAAAAATAAGTTTAAAAGCATAAGTAATCATATGAGTATTTAAAGAAAACAATAAAACATAAAAACTGCAATACTCAATGTCCTTTTTCTATTACTTCTAGTCCCGTGTACATGTCTAGTTTACTATATATACACGAGAATTTAAAATAATTAATATTAAGAAGAAAATTTATAATAGCAAACATACACACTCAAAGCTCAAAAATAGTGATAGTTTCCAAATGAAATAAATAAAATCAGTCTACAAGAACAGGATGAGAACTTGTTATTGATCCACAAGCTACTTCAAGAAAACAAGATCAAAAACAAAAAATTTCTCTCATATGATCTACAGCTACAAAAATTAGGCAGTTATAATGCTAGCCAAGACATTGCTCTTACCGCGGGCGAAAATGGTGTAGACCAGTCGAATCGCATCAAGCCATCCATCCAAAGAATCCCATGACTCGGCAACCTGCAGTCGAAAGAACAATGATTCAAATGTAATAAGATTCTACAAGCTTCAAAAAGCTCCACAGGCCTTGCAAAGCAAGAAGATTTACCAAGAAAACGGGCTCATGGACTGTGTCGATGCACAGGCCTGCGCCTTTTGGCAATGTAAGATCACCACATGCTGATACAGAAACAATATCTTGTATTTTAACTCTTATGGAAGATTGTTCGATCCCATCTCCTGATTGTGATGGAAGATTCGATGCAACTTTCTTGTTACTCTGCATGTAAATGAATTTAGATCAGCCACCTTTCTGGATGAACAAAACCAATTGTAATGTAATATTATTTTCAAAATTCTTGGATCCATATTCCGAAGCTAGGAATTCTTGAACTTAAATATCCCTCCAAGCTGTATAAATGAGTTGACTTCACATTGTTCTTGTAGAGTTTCAAGACATCTTCATTGGCGAAAAGTACAATAATATCGATAGTTAAAAATGGAACGTGATAAAACAGATGTTAGTAGATATTGCAGCACACTTAAGAATATTTATGCTATTGTTGATAATTGGTATTCTAGCAGATAGAATAAATGAGATAAAGTTCTCTTTCTTACCTCTTTAAGGCTTTCATGATTTAGAACAAATCGAGTGCGTCTCCATTTGCTGTGAGGAGCAATTGGATTTTCCACCGGCGGTGCTGCAAGATATCCAGCCTTCAAATACGGTAGAGGCAACTACAAGAAAAAAAAAAACACCTAGCTATTATCATCACATTAATGAATTGAAATCAAAATGTAATAGAGCTTTTGAATTTACAATAAATTTAAGTAAGCATATATTCCCCGAGAACATTGCCAACTACAATGGAAATCTCAATGTAATTTAATTTCTTTATTACCAACACATGGCGGAAGCTAGTGTGAATACTAACCATAGAGCGGACTAGCTTTAAAGCACTAGTGTAAACCTGCTAATATCGGGAAAAAAAAAAAGTTTCACCATCAGTAAAACGATCAAGAACAACTGAAAGTTCCAGAGAATAGTAATATGGTAGAGTGTTAGACTAGGTAGCATGTCATCTCTTGAACATAAAGTGCTCACGGAGTAAGTGGGCTTTAATGCATGTGCCGCTGCAATGTATATCGCAGATTGGCTGTATAACTCATTAGGATAGATGTCCTTCGTGTGCCTGTGTCCTCGAGTTCTTGATATGTCCTCCGCTAGTCCATACTGCAAATTTTGGATCATAATGTCGTATCAGATAAGTTTGTTATATGCCAAGGGCAGAACAAGTGCTGAACTAACCAATACAGTTCCAAGATTGTAGATTGCCCTATGGAAATCAAACTGCAACCGTATTGCAGCACGAAACTGTTACCAACAAGAAAGCTATCAGATCAGGTCATCACAATATGAAGCATTTCACTAAAGAGTGACGCTTAAATACGCATCCATTAAGTGCAATAAGACCGACAGATCTTACCTTGTTGATGGCATTTTTGACAATTGTCTGCTTGTTTCGAGCAGGAACAATTGAGCTGAGTTCCTGCAGCATCAAGTTGGAGCATAAGATGAGGATAATAAAACACTTAGTGCATAACATGCAGAAGTTGGGCACCAAAACTTCAATAATAGTTTTGAAAATATACCTACCTGCAATGCAAGCCCCCAATTGTTAAGCGCCTGCAGTCGGGATATGAAAAATCAAGAATGTCAGAAATATGCATACAGCCATTCTCCCGAAAAAAGATACACCACACAACAAAACAGTTGGAATAAAACAAAAAGATTCACCCAACAACAAATATGATGACTAATTGTTCAGCAGCAGGTTCGAAAACATGATATAACATGAGGCTATTTGCATAGTTTAGATTAATTAGATTAATCTTTTACCTGAGGACTGTTCCAATTGAGCTGGACAGCCGTTTCATAATTCTTTGTTGCCTGAAAAAACAAGGAAAGTAAATTATTATTTATACTTCAATGCTAATGAATATTAGAGGTTGGGGAATAATACAAAACAATGAAGACTCGTCTAAAGGCTAGAAGTCGACAGAAATTTAGTTCAATCAGATTGTGAAGTGCTTAGTACCACACACAACAATCAAAAGCTTACCTGTTTCCAGAGTTCCTCTGCCTCCTTTGTACGGCCGCGCAATTTTGCCCGGTCAGAGATTGCTATAGCCCAATTATAAAAAGCCTGAACCATAATAATGAATCTCAAAGATTTGTCACTATAACAAAACTGATAATTAAGCTTTCAAAATCACAGGCACAGATATGCCTTATACCTAATTTTTAATAACTAAATCAAGTCATTCTGGTTAGTGAAAACTAACAGAATTAATATGACAGTGGCACATACATCATTAAGTGTAGGGCAAAAATGGGTAGCCTCCTCATACTTTCTACATGCCTCTTCAAGTAAAGCATCCTTGGAAGGAGAACTAGAATCTGGACTAACATTATCAGCACTTTCCTGCAATGAATGGTGCAAATGTTACAATCCTTAATTCATCCGTCGGGATTCAAGTTTCTAACTACATGACTCTAAAGGAAAGACATCTAGATAACCAGTCAGACAACCATAAGAATAATGACTAGTATTATTTATTTGAGGGTTCATGAGGCCATGTCAAAGCACAATAAAATTCCTCAATTTCTACTTAAAAGCATTAAAATATTCTAATGCTGCTCACAAACACTGCGTACATAATACAGGAAGAATAAACTATTATAGTACATTCACATAGCACTACACAAGTTGCTCCATTCAAACCTGAAGGACAAGAGCCCAATTGTACAATGCATCATAGTCCTCTGGATTTTTCTCTAGAGCAGCTGCATATCTAAAAGGTGAAAGATCTCAATAAACTCAAAATTATTGAACATCAGCTTTTGAAGGAAACAAATGCTTTGCAATGTAGATTAGAGCCATGAAATATTCATCTTTGTGATTTTTGTTGAGCTCATTAAACCATGATTAATAAAGGCACTAAATGAACATTCCATGGGTGTACATTAATCTGCATATATTAGCATGATATTTACATTCTGTGGGAATATCTTATAAAAGAAAGAATTAATTGGAAAGGATAGGTAGATCGTGGAAGCTGATAAAGGACTATGGCTTTAAAAGGGAGACAATTATAATAGGTTTTCATGCAAAAACAACCATATAAAAATAAAGGTAACTATTGTAAATTGGTAAATCTCTTGGGTATGGTAGAAATGCATCTTATTTGATCTTTCATTAGATATTCTCCAATAAGTTGAATTAAAGGAGTGGGAAATGATCTCTCTTTTTGGATCCATAGTCTCCACTTTAGCTAGAAAACTTGCTCAGATGCTCGTAGTGTTACATGCGAAAACTGATATTAAGATGAAACTACAGGAAGATGTATGGAAGAGTCTTCATGTAATGCACAAAAGATAATGTGACTACCTCTTGGCAGCAAAGGTAAGAATCCTCTGCCGAGATCTACCTTCCTCATCAAGACAAGTGACACTTTTAATCAACTCCATAGCAGTATCACTCTCCGCAATTTGCTCTTCTGAGCTTGATTCTCTGGAAAAACATCAAAAGACCAAATAAAACATCAGAAATGATAGAAAATTTGTAAGAAATGCAAAATGTGTTTCTTCTTTGATTGCTTTACAACCTGTAAGTGATAAAAAAAAAAAAAAAAAAAAAAAAAAAAAAAAAAAAAGCGGGTTTCTCAATAACTGAACTATTTACAAAAATGCAGTGTTAGTGTTCCATACGTAGAAGATTGAAAGCACAATGCAGTTATGATCCTAAACTTTCAACATTTACAAACCTCTGAGGAGTATCGGAAGCTTCTCTCCCGTCTTTACCGTCGAAATCGCCATTCTTCAATTCATTAGCTATTTCTCTAATCGCCTGATTCCCCTCCAATTCTCCTAGCTTCGGCCCGAGCACTGCGTCCACATTCGACTGCACTGCTTCTGAGTTCACACCACTGAATGCAATCGACACGACGTCCTCCTGTACAGAATCCACCGCCTCTGGATCAATTGATTGCACTTCTCCCGACTTTTCTGCGACGCTTGGTTTTACACCAATTTCATTAGGATCTGGCGCATCATCTGTTAGTACTTTCCCTGGTGTCTCTGCCTCACGCGGCTGCACCTCCGTTTCCTTACGATCAGGGAGGTTGGGATCTGAATCAGTGGTCGCAGCTTCCAATGCAGGTTCAGGATCCGATGACCCGCTCCGAGAATCGGATTCTGGCAAATTCGACGACATAACGATATCACCACGATTTCGATCGGGAAAGAAGAAGGAACAATCAGCAGAGAGAAGATCTCCAACTTGTTCCTTCACTACGAAAATCTCCCAGCCGTTTTCTGTCGGAACATGCAGGAAGGAGGATCTCTAATCCATGAAGTTATACCATACCATGCATAGAGGCCCAGTCTTGGGATGGATCAACTCCATTTCCGCATGACACGTGTCCCTGCTTCCCTATAATGAAGAAAGCAGACATTTTTATACTGAGATTTTGGTGCCAACACAAATCATAAACATATATACATATTGTACATATATAACTCTTTTCGCATTCTTTATTCATGGCGTGGCATTCAAATTTTGAATGTCATAAGAACTACATACATGCGATAGAAACAACACAGTAAGAACACTGTTAGCAAGTTCCTGCTTCACTAGTGATTCTTCCACAAATAACCTCTGCAAAGCAAGTTAAAACCTCTCCAGTCTTCCCTAACCTAATGAGAGAAACAACAGATAACATATATGAACCAATCGGCGGAAATTCGCTAAATCTTGTCGTGGAGGGTCACTACCAGGTCGTGGGCGTCGTCCAAGAGCTTCCAGACATCAAGATGACCGGCGAGATTATTGCATTCTCTCACAATTTCATCCATGCTGCTGTAGTTCTCGATGAACAGCTTCCTCTTCTGCAGGACGCAGGCGGCTATTGCGTACAGGAGCAGATCCTCCGTTGGCGGGGCTCTCAGCCTCATTTTCCTCCTAGGGGGCTTCACAATCCCGGCTCGAATAGCTGCTTGATCGGCCCACATGACTTCCCACAGGCAGAGCGTCTGCTCGAATGTCAACTCCCTCCTGAAGAGAACCACGACCATCCTGTACACGAAGAAACAATCCTCGGCCTGGAGCTTCTCTAGGTGCTTGTAGAGAAGGGTGTCCTTACACTTAATGATTTTGGACACGATGCTCAGTTGCCTTCGGATACCGACTTCATCAAGCCGGAAGTTGTGCCGGGCTTTCCGCATGAAACCCACGAAGCACCAAAAGGCTATGTGGTCTTCCTCTATCACTGAAACAATTGGAGAGAGTAAATCGCTCATGCCCTGACAGTAACCAGTCTCCGAATCATATACAGCATAAGCTTCAAGAATAGCGACGAGACGAGCAGCATGATGGATTTGACATGGCTCGAGACTATCGTAGTCCTTCAGTCCAACACTCTCGGCAAGTTGCCGTGCCTTGGCTTCTGAAACTGCAGCTTGAGAAGAGTAGCGGATCCATTCGGAATTGACCCGTATAGCATCAAGGCGAATAATCCTCTGCCATGTAGCAAAATCTTCGTTCTTTTGAAATGTAGGCATCCTTTCCAACTTGCTCAGAGTTGAGTCGATTCTCTCGTAGAGATGATTATCCCCATCATCTGTTGAACTGAGAAGGGGTTTCATGTCCTCCAACTCTTCGGAAGAATCAGAATCTGATGACTCCATTTCAGCATCAGAAACTTTTGTCTCAGTAATTGCACAGTCTTCTTCCAGCTCTGCAAATTCAATTGGAGTATGATAATTTACATTTTGTATATCTTTATATACAGCATTAGCCGACATGGTAGTAATCTCCATGGAAATAGAAGGTCTGGCACCAGAAATTTCATCGAGGCCAGAATCTAAAACTTGAGTGGTGTCTCCACCATCCTTGTTGCCACTGTTTCCAGATATCTCCTTCAACTTAAAACTTCTCTCTCCATGTCTTGAAATTAGATAGCATTGTCTCCGCAACTCTAAATAGCTTCTTCTGCAAAATCAATAGACACAGGGAAAAACCAAAATCCGATTGAACCAGATAAGCATGCATAAAAACATAAAACAGAAAATATGCATTTCCCATACTGTTTTCATGTGATTATTTTGAAAGCAAAATCAATTTAAGAGTACAAACACAACAGAATTGAAAACTGGGATCGTAAATGATAATAGGCCTGCTCATGCTGCATCAACATGAGCAAGCAACCTCTTTTCAGTTAAAGGATATGTGAAAAGAAGCATATCCATTTATAAGGATTCTTTAAATGAAAAAGATTTTTAAAAAAATTGGCTTAAATTTGATATAAAAAGATATGGAGTGATGATATAAATACTCCACCTTTGAGATCCAAGAAATTTGATGCAAGGATTAGCACTATAATCAGGTTTGTAAAGGAACAATAAGGTAACTGGACCAGTAAAATCATTCTCAGGTGGGAGGATGTGAACGCAAAGTTGTTTTTAGAATAATCTCAGTGAAACATCAGCTAGTTTTATGAATTTAGTGGTGGTTTGATCTCTTTAATTCGGTTCCAAGTGAAAATAGAATATTTGAGAATAGATATACCTCTTCTGGGATACAATCACATCTCTTTGTTTTTCAGAACTTTTCACATCATACCTGCAGCAGAATATGCAAAGTTCAACAATATCATATCTAAAGATTTCCAGCACAGAAAAGATGAGAAGAAAAGAGAACTATGATAGTATAAACTATTCTTATTGAGATACATTCTTCCACTGTCAAGGTTAACTCTATTGGATCTTTGCGCTCCAAAATAACTCAATCAGCCAAATTATTCATTGAAAGCAATAATATTCTCTACCCAGTTGGAATATGTCAAGCATGGAGAAATTCAAATTCTAGGCTTTCGTCCAAAAACATATTGCAGGCAACAATCAGCTAAGGTTCTCACATTTAATCATACAACTGGGGCAGTGAACATTTATGAAGGATATAAACCAAACAAAAATTCCTATTGACAATGAAAACTGATAAAAATAGATGCAATAATTATAAGGATCCTCTGAACCCAGTATTAGCGAGGAATACTTACATTCCAAGGAGGAATGGCCAAACTTCTGCCCTTATGCTTGGCTCTACCCCCTGAAAAATTAATCACAAGGTTACACACACACACACAAAAAAAAAAAAAAAAAAAGGAACAGAACAGAATCTTTCAGTGGATAGACTGAGGCACATAGCCGCATACTCATGGACATTTTGACAAGTATACAAGAAGAAACATACCCCAGTTCGAATTTTCTTCAGAAACTTGATTCCTCCATCCAAAAATTTCCCATCTGCATCAAACAGATTCTTCCACTGTTTGGCTAGAAGAGCATGTTTCCTTCTCCTTCTAGACCAGGGAGATTTAAGATTTCCTCTGCATACAGGAGCACAATCATCTAATATTCATCAATATATTATAATTAGGATGTGGAATAGTATACATATAGCAGGATATACAAAACCTATGTGTAATAACATCAATGAGCTCTGAAGAGAAGGATCAACAGTGAACTCTGATTTATTACAAATTAAAAGGGAGCAAAGAGCCCCCATTCATTTAACCGATTCCAAATCAAAGGAAAAATAAGTAGTATCCAATTCTTCCAAAAAGGTTTCATAATATTAGGGTATTAATCCTGATCAATGGACATGATAAGGATAGTTCCCTTCAATATACGTCAAACGGAATCCTAAAGATCATCTTTTCTTGAATAATATTCACCAGAGAAGACGGCCACAGAAATAGAGAGAGAGAGAGATTTTAGGAATCCAACAAGAGCTACGAATTGGGATCCGATGATATATAAGAAAAAAACTGGGATGGCAGGATCAGGAGGACTATATTAACAAAAGCTTTGAAGAATACAAATATGAAGTAAGCGGCACAAACCGATTAGATGAAACTGGCGAGGAAGACGATGACGAAGCGACGATTAACAAAACCGATCTCAAATGAATCCACGAAGAAGATGAAGCCGCCGACGACGACGGTGAGGATGTCGAGGAAGGAGACAGCATCGATTTACTTGACGCCAAGGAAGTCTGGCTCCGCCTGAGCGCTTTCATTAATGGATGTTTATTCACCAACATCCACGTACACCTATCTATCCGTATCAATTCCGATACAAAAATCTAAACACGAACCCCTACAATCGCTATGTCCTAGGGTTACAACTTCCAATTACTTTGTCGAAACTCGCGATTCATCGGATTTCTCTTCTACGACTACTGGCAGAGTAGATAACGCGTAGCGGCAATTTCCAGGTCGGCGATGGCCGTGACACCAATTTCTATTCCGCCATTCGAATACGAAGGCAACCGCTCATCCCCGCCGGCGGCCTCCGCAACGATAGCGATCCTAGTCCGACCATCACCGCCAAAAAAAAGATCTCGTCAATCACAACCGCCGGCAACGTCCACAGCGCAAGCAGAGAGAAATTAGAGCTAAGCAGTCAGGAGTCGTCGTCACTCCACATCACATCACATCCACAGTCCGTCCGTCCGTCCGTCCGCCCCTCAACACCCTCACCATTCACCAGCCTCAAAACGCCCTTTCCTTTTCTTTTCCCTTTTCCTCTCCCAGTGCCCACTTTCCCTTTGCCATTTGAATGCCCTGCCCATCTCAATGAATATTTAATAATTAAATACATATTAATTATCAAATAAATAAATAACTTACCCCTGCAATCTCACGAGGATATTATAGTAAATTCACGTTTACCTTTTACTTTTGAGTTGTGTTCTTTATGTTAATAGTAGTTTAATTTTTACGGTGCATTGTTGATGTATAAAAGTTAATATGATATATACACAGTATACTGAGATGACATGACAGGATAAATACATTATTCTATTAAACTTAACAATTAAATAAAATAACACCAATGTTAATATATTTCTTAATAATTGTGAGATTCCTACAGATTTTCCGTATTCTTAACTCATTAAATCATTTGATAAAACAATATCTGGCATAGTCCAATTGTCCTTAACTAATAACTTATTTTTATAATTTCAAAGACTTAAATTGGACTATTCACTTAATAATAAACTAATACTCCAATATCCTTATCAGTTTACATTTCAATGTCATTGGGTATTTTGTGAAATTAAATAAATAAATAACTTCTGGGCTTTTATTTTAGTAATTACTTTGATAAAGACACGAAAATGGATAATTTATAAAGTCTGAAAATGAATTTGAATAATCTAGATTTATAATTTATTTATTTAACGAGAATCCTGTAATAGTGTGTGACGCACGGCAGAGAAGACGGGGAGCATCCAATACGGTGGGCCCACGTGTCATTAAACTTAAATTAATGATACTCACATGAATTTCGAGTTTTTTTTAAATGCACTTGGGTTTCTAATCAAATACTATGTCAATAAGTGTTTAATACGTTGATGACTTTTTTTTTAATTAAGTCCAATTATTATTATCTTGTGTGTTTTTCCAAGATTTGTATATGGGTCTGGAACTTGATAATATTAATATTAATATTAATTTGTATTAATATTTGATTTAAAAAATAAAAAAATAAAATAAAAAAAGATTTCTTATACAATACCATACAGAAAGGTGTTATATGGGCCGAAATACCATTTAAAAGGCCCAAATTCTGAATGGAAGCCCAGGAAAGGCCTAATTAAAACTACTACACTACTTAATATGAAAGTAGGAATTTAATTAAAATTTAAATATTTATTTTATAGGAAGAACAAAGATACGTAACTCGGAGTTCCGACCACACACTTTCCTCGCTCCGCCGGTTGATGGCGAGAGCCTCCGCCGGTGTCGGAGTTCTCGTCTCTCCGGCCCTCGTCCGCCGGGAATATCACTCCTTTTCTACACTTGCCTCCTCCTCGAAGCGTTTCCGTTGTTCTACTCTCCGCGTCGCGAAAAACACCGGGGAGACGATGTCTGGCTCTTTAGGCAAGAGTCATCCTTCTCTAGAAATTATTGGTGGAGGCTTGGAAGCGTTCTTACCGGCATTCAGAAGCCAGCTGCTGCGGTACGAACCTTATCCCCTGATTGGTGCTAATTGCCATGTGGAGACGATTTTTGCGGCGTTCTTTCGGTCGCTTCCTGACGTTAGACTCCGGCGTGAGTGTCTTCGCACTAGCGATGGCGGAGCTGTAGCTCTGGACTGGGTGTCTGGGGATGATCGGAGTTTGCCTCCCGATTCCCCAGTCCTCATTTTGCTGGTGAATATTGATTTAACTCTGCCCCCAAGTTATTTGTTTGATTTGCTTTTTGCACGATTTTTTGCTGTATAATTTGGATAGTTTTTGTCCATTCTTTGTTTGTAGTGTTTTTTAAAATCAGTAAATATGGGCTGCATGATTTCCGTTGCAATTCAGTTGGTCATGAAAGAATTGCGCCAAGAAAGTTACAACTGATGGAATTAAGCTGTTGATTCCTAATATTGGGGATTGGTTGGTGTTAATTTTCTCGACTCGGGATTTTGATTAGATTATAAGGTGCTCTCTTGCGAATGCACGCCAAATTTCAAGATTCAAACTTAATCTACATTTAGTAATGGTATGGATATGGGAGAAAGGTACAAGTGGTTTTGACAATGGATGGTTGCAGCCAGGTCTTACAGGCGGTAGCCAGGATACGTATGTGAGGCATTTGCTACAGCGAGCAAGGAGTAAAGGCTGGCGAGTCGTGGTGTTCAATAGCAGAGGTTGTGGAGACAGCCCTGTCACTACAGCTCAGGTATTCTTGGCTGTTAGCATGCTTTTCATGTAAAATGAAAGGTTTTTGAATGAAAATATCGATTGATGTTAGCATCCATCCAATGATTTGATGCATATGTGTTTTACTTTTGTTCAATGCATAATCATATGAGTGGATGGAGTTACTGTATTTGTGTGAGCTAATCATGACCTCTGTCCGTAATTATTTGTCACAAATGAATTGGAAAACATCCATCTTTTTGGCTTCATGTTTATTTCATTTCCTATTGAAATTCAGTTCTATTCAGCCTCATTTCTTGGAGATATGACTGAGGTAGTGGAGCATGTTGGCAGCCGCTATCCCCAAGCCAATTTGTATGCAGTTGGATGGTCACTTGGAGCTAATATTCTTGTTCGATACGTGGGTCAGGTAAAATAATTGTTTTGTTACATTGCAACTTGTTTTCTTGATCTTCTGGTTGATATGTTATTACTTAATACTATCTCTTCTTGATGCTATTAAGTTGCTTCTAATGTGCCTTTTTACTTAAACAACTTGTGTTGTTCATGCTTTGGAATGTGTATTTTTATTCCTTGCTTTTACCGATTAGTGACCCTATGTTGCCTTTAGTATGAAGTTTGGTATATAATCAAACATTCATATTTCTGGGTATTCAAATAAAATCAAACTTTTTTGCGAGTTGTGAAATTAAACGAAAGATAGTTTGTACTTTATTCATGTGCTAAATAGTCTATATGTAGATGCAAGCCTCTTATCATTTTTATCTTCTCTCCCTGTCTTATTACATGTTTTTTTTTTTTTGTTGTTTTGTTGCAGGAGTCTTTCTCTTGTCCTCTTGCTGGTGCTGTATCTTTATGCAATCCTTTTAATTTGATCATTGCAGACGAAGATTTTCGTAAGGGTTTTAACATTGTTTATGACAAAGCTCTAGCAAATTCACTCTGCAAAATTTTCAAGAGGTACCACTCCATATAATCCAGGACTTGTTTCTTTCATACTTTTTGCACAATAGAATTATTTCAACATCCACATTTATGTCACATTGAACATGATCCCTTATTTGGTAGGCATGCCCTTCTGTTTGAGGACATCGGAGGTGAATATAATATCCCAATGGCTGCAAATGCTAAGTCAGTTAGAGAATTTGACGAGGGACTAACTCGAGGTTTGCATACTTTCTATAGATGCATGAAGAACCAATTATAGAACTTCTCATTAACTGCTTAATGCTATTAACATTCTCAGTTTCATTTGGATTTAAGTCTGTTGACGACTACTATGCAAACTCAAGCAGTTCGCTTTGCATCAAGAATGTCTCGATACCTCTGCTATGCATCCAGGCACGTATCTGTTTGCAGTTAGATACTGTATGTTTGATTTAGTATATAATTGTCGCTCAAAAGATCATTCCAGAAAAAACTTGGAACTTTTCCGGAGATACTATTCATTGTCTTTTTCATTCCAGTATTAAACCTGTCCTTTCATCACCATTCAATGTTAAATCGATCTTCTATGTGGTTAAGAGTATGTTCGCAAAAGTTTCATTTATTTATTGAATCATGCAATGAAGTATAGTGTAATCGCGCTCAAAGTCAAAACTACATTCCCTTTGCTAAGATATTTTAGTTTGTGAAATGGTTTTTAGGCTGAGAATGATCCAATTGCACCTTCTCGTGGAATTCCCCGTGAAGACATTCAGGTTTTCAAATCCATTTAAGTATTTTCTCATTAAGTCGACATTTTTATTGGATTATTGATAATTTCTCCAAGAATCTTGTCTGCTGACACATCAATCATTCTATGTGTTTTTTCACATTGGATCCCAGAAAAATCCAAACTGTATCCTGATGGTCACACCCAAAGGAGGGCATTTGGGGTGGGTAGCAGGCGGCGAAGCTCCTCGTGGGGCTCCATGGACGGACCCTGTAGTCATGAATTTCTTGGAACACTTGGAGAAAACTCGGGTGCCAAATGCAGCACCGGAAGATGTCGAAAGCAGCGTCGGTCTTCACCTTCAGGTATAGAATGGCTAAACCTTAACAGGCATTGAATATTGAACCAGAAGAAGCTATATGCGCATATATAAGCCATTGTTTCACCATGTTTGTTTGTTTATTTGATGGATAGTTGTGAATAGGCTGAAACTGTGGATAAAGATGGATTAATTCATGGGGACAAATGGACAAATGTTGTTATTATCATGTGTGTTTTTGGATTTATATATTCTTGAAATCTTTTTATTTTAATTGATTTGTAGATGGATGAGATCAATTTTTTGTGGTGCTAAATATAATCAGTGATGTTTCCTCATTTCTTTCAAATTTTTTCTTATTTTCTTTTTTTGCTGTTATAAAAAGATATTTTCGTTTTTATATTTAGTGAAAAATTATACTAAGTTTTTATTAAATTGGGTTTAAATATTTAAGTATACATTTGGACGAGTGAGTTTATTTTTGAAGAAGATTACTCCCACTTGTTATAAAATATTGATTTCGAGGAGAGAGTTTTTTGAGCTTTCTTGATCAAGCATTCTTCCTAATATAGTAATGTTATTATTTCCGAATTTAGGTTTGGTTCACACGACTAGAATGAGATGGAATTAGAAGTTGGAAATTCTAAATGTAGCATTATTGTTAAACGCTTAAGAATAATTTAATTATTTTAAATTGGTCCATGATTCATGCTGCGACTAAAATATCACAACATAGAAATTTAGATATGGTAGTAGTAGAGTTGACATTCTAGAAATCAAATATTGTCACATGGAAATATTACATGAACCGGCAATAAGTGAACCGGGTTACTATTATTATTATTATTATTATTATTATTGATTTTTGACATGTTTTAGAATTGTTCATAGTTTATAGAGTAACATAAAAATTCAGTTACGCCATTTTCGTGATGGTTTTTGTGATTATTATTCAACAAAACAATCAAAATGAAGCTTTGATATAATATATATATATATATATGTATACGGGTGTGTTTGTTTAGGGGTTTGGATTTTGAGTTGGGATTTGAATAGTAAAAATTTTGAATTTGAATAGTTGTATGATGTGATATAAATAGGTGTTGACGATGATGTTTTGAATGTAAAATTGATTTCTAGTATAATATAAAAAATAAAAAATAGGTGTTTGATTTGATGTTTTTGGAGAAAAAAATAAGATGAATAGTGGAAATCTAATCCAATCCCCCAACAAACACACCAGTAGTGTGTGTTTCTTTTGATGGGTTTGGAAAAATTTAGTGTGTGTTTCTTTTGATGGATTTGGAAAAATTTTGGTTTGGGTTTGGTATTAAAATAATGTATGATGGAATGTTTTGTGAGATGAAAGAATGTATTTTTTATTTTTTTTTAGAAACGCAGACTTCAAATAGTAAAAACATTAGATATTAAATAAATAGTGAATAAAAGCTAATCTAACAACTTCATACCTTCTGAATATTTAATAGTTTAGCACATGATAATTCCTCCGTCTCATAACAAAGTATTATATTACACAAATATCGTTACTTTTATATCACACATGTTAAAGTTATTTTAGTTATTTATATTTTATTCATACTACATCTCAATATAATACTAATATTTCCAAAATTACGTGTAAAAAGCAAATCAATATTTACTTATGGGATGTAGGGAGTATATTTTTTATATAATATAAATTATAAATATAAACAATAGGCCTTTATTTTACAAGATACACACAATATATATATATTTTTTAAACAAATGACATTGTTTGTATGCTTTTATCAGTGCTATTTATAAACTTATTTCAAACTAAAATCAAAGCAAAATAAAAACAAATTCTAAATTATTTGTAATTCAAGTGTCTTTGGTTTTGATTTGAAATTTAGATTTTTAGTTTAAAGAGATATAATTAAATAGTATTTTCATATTGTATTTTATAAATATATATATTTTGAAAATTATAGGAATAAAAAATATAATTTAATTTAAAATATAAAAAAAATAAATGATGTTTTTTTTTTTTGAAAAAATTTGATGGATAATCTTTTTTATATGAGATATAAAGAATTACGTAAAAAAATATATAAAAATAATAAATATATATATAATATATTAATATTTTTGAGAAAACAAATATTTTTTAGAAAAATATATACACCAAAAAACTCAAGAGTATGTTCTTTTTTGGAAAAACCTGACATTATTTTTTAAAAAATTAATATAGTATTAAAGTCATTTTTTAATTTTAATAGTATAGATATTAAAAAAAAATAAAAATCTGTCAAATTATTTCACCGAATAAACAGAGACACCCTCGTTGTATCTTAAGGGTATGTTTGTCACCCTTCAGTAACATTTTTTTTTTCAAAAAAAAAATCAAATCAAAAATTTATTTTTTATTTTTTATATTATACTAAAAATTAATTTTATATTTAAAACATCACGTTAACACTTATTTATATCACTATATACAATTATTTAAATTCAAAATTTTTACAATTTAAATCCCAACTCAAAATCACGAACACACCTTAAAAAGTAAACAAGCCCGCCTCTGGGATAAGAGCTAAAAACTGGTCAAAATAAGTTTGATTAAAACATAACTTGATCACCAACGTCATTCATCATCGTCATCGTGCCATACATAATAATAATAATAATAATAATAAATAAATAAATAATTAGAAGATAACTAATTAATATACATTCAATTTAATCATTTTACAATATACGTGGAAACATGAAATTCCTAAACTACCCTTGATTTCAACTATAAATAAGGTTTTCGAGTCTTCCCCGTTACTACACTAAACCCAATCCCATTAACGACAGCCGTCCGATCAGCCCAACGCTGCGACCAGCGATAACATGGCAAACAAATGCGCTAACAGACGATCTGAGCCGTCCGATGAACTCTCGGAGCAATGCAACGCCGGCAAGAAACACAAGTCAGCTCCGGCGGCGCCGGAGGATCCAACGGCGGCGATAGCCAGCGCCCGCCACGAGTTCGGCGAGTACGGCGGCGTGAACATGTCCATCGAGGTGTCGGCGACCTTCACCGTCATGGAGCCGGAGACCATGCGGCGGATGTTCGCCGGCGAGCTCGGCCCCGACCGCGATTTCTTCATCTACAGCCGCCACTTCAACCCGACGGTGCTCAACCTCAGCCGGCTCATGGCGGCGATGGAAGGCACCGAGGCGGCGTACTGCACCGCCTCCGGCATGGCCGCCGTCTCGTCGGTCCTCCTCCAGCTGTGCAGCTCCGGCGGCCACGTGGTGGCGTCGCGGACACTGTACGGCGGATCCCACGCGCTGCTGGCGGACTTCCTGCCACGCGCCTGCGGCATAACGACGTCGTTTGTGGACATTACGGATCACGACATGGTGCGCCGGGAAATCGTGGAGGGGAAGACTAAGGTGCTGTACTTCGAGTCCATCTCCAACCCCACCCTCACGGTGGCCGACGTGCCGGAGCTCGCCAGGATAGCCCGCCGTAACGGCGTCACGGTGGTCGTCGACAACACCTTCGCTCCGATGGTGCTGTCGCCGGCGAAGCTCGGCGCCGACGTCGTCGTGCACAGTATTACAAAGTACATCAGCGGCGGCGCTGACATCATTGCAGGTCCGTACCCTTCTCATATATTAAATTAATATACTATTGTTTATTACTGAAATAAATAAAAATAAATTTGGGTTTTTTTCATGAACAGGTGCAGTATGTGGGCCAGCAAGCTTGATCCAATCCATGATGGATCTTCACCAAGGGGCCCTAATGCTCTTAGGCCCAACAATGAACCCAAAAGTGGCTTTCGAACTCGCCGAAAGGCTGCCACATTTGGGCCTTAGGATGAAAGAACATAGTAGGCGGGCCATGGAGTTCGCCCAAAGGATGAAAAGATTGGGCCTCAAGGTCATATACCCGGGCCTCGAGGATCACCCGAACCACGGCCTGCTAAAGTCCATAGCCAATGAAGGCTATGGCTATGGTGGAATGATGTGCTTGGACATGGGGACAGAGGAACAAGCCAATCAGCTGATGAACAAGCTACAAAATTGCACCGGATTCGGCCTGATTGCCGTGAGCTTAGGCTATTATGAGACACTAATGTCGTGCTCGGGGAGCAGCACAAGTAGTGAACTGAATGAAGAAGAAAAGAGTAATGCCGGGATTTCTCCGGGGCTTGTTAGAATGTCGATAGGATATAATGGGACAATGGAGCAGAAGTGGAGCCAGTTCGAGAAGGCGTGGTCGAACTAGAAGAGAAATGGACTCTATGGTTACCTTTGTCTCTGTGTTTGTGTGTTTCTTATGCTTCCTAGTTGTTGTAATATATTGTGGAATGATGCCTGGAAGACAAAACTGTAAGATTTGCACAAAGAAATGAAATAAAAACAAGTAGGGTACAACCTGCGTTGTACTATATGTTTAGTTAACAAAAGAAGATCATGCTTTGTGAGTCTTTTGTTTGGCTGGCTTACCAATTCAGCTGAAGTTTGGAAACAATGATTTGGACCGCGCCACGGCATTCTCGACTCTTGTTCAGCTTTGGTCGACAGATTTGAATCACCCTTCGAAGCCGTAAGTTGCCTTCAAGCGCTCCTGCAAGTAATCGCCACTGCGGATTGGGGGGTACCTGGCAAAGGTAAAATCATATCATCCATGTCCATACTCTAAATGCGTGTGTTTTGGTTAAGTTTTGGGTTGTTCTAGTTCGTACCTCGGAGGATTTGACTCGTTGCAGCAACTTTTTAAGCATTCTACTACACAATCCGGATTTGGATCCAAAAAGAAAGCCATCTGTTCCAAAGGAATAATCATGCTTGGCAAACTGTCGACTGGTAAATATTTGAAATGAGCAACTATTGTGCATTGATAGGTTAACAAGGTACATGATATTTACTAGAAAAAATTGAATGTAGATCATTACCGAATGTCGTTCTTGACCCGTAGGCATTACTCGGTGCAATGTTGACCTGCAGTTTTCAACAAAATCACATCAGAAAAAAGAAAACAAGGAAAAAAAACAAAAGGTCCAAAGTGAGTACCTAAATAAACAATTTGTCCACCTCTCCATCATGTCACCGATGTTGACAATAAAGGCCCTGCAGCACACAGTTTGAGACAAGAAAACAGAACTTAAAAATCAAAATTGAATACATGCTTGTGCACAAATGTGCTTACTTGTTTGTGGCTCAGCTGAAAAGAAAAAACAAAACCCCAGCACCATAAAGGCACCGAGGAATAATGATTTGAGAGTTAAAACATGCTCCATCAACAAAACATTTCTTTCAAAGTTCCCATTGAATATAAGGTACCATTAGAAAAACATCAACAATGTTAAATGGTAAAATATATTCCTATTCAAAATGAAATTGCAGATTAGAAGAACATCGTGAATTACTCCAACTCTCATTCATATAAATGTCATGCTAAAAACAGTTTATATGATTAAAAGCTAGTATTCTTGTTTCAGAATTCAGGCAATGACGCCGATGAGAGTAGCTTCAGTTGAAAGCACTGAATTATATAAGCCTTCGCCTTAAACAACTCAAATATATCCCTTCACATATTTATATCGGCCACGACATTGTAATTTCAGGAGAAGCGAAAATTATCTTATTTATGAAGAGACATTATGACACTCTCCTATGGGAAAAATCATCATGCAGAAAATATATAACCAGGGTTGTTACTTGTCAAAAGTAATATATGCAAGAAAAATATTATTCATAAAAGACTAATAAACTAGAGTAGCTAAACTCACCCAGGGATGTGTTGCACATCTTCCCAAATCTGTGGCCTGTTGAATTTGTCTCTGCATATCTGCCATGAGAAAAAATAACTGAACCATTAGGTAGTGGTGACTGCAATTATAGGTGTAAAATCCAAATGAGAAGGTAAGGTGGCATTCCTGAAGTCCACCAATTCCATCTGTTGCTAGCAGTGTTATCATCCCATAATCTGAATGGGCAGAAGCCCCATATATTTCTTCATTAGATGAGCCCAGTTCACCTGTTCACAAACGCATAGGAACAGAGATTTACATCCTTCACTGCAGTAACCTCTCCAAGCTCAAGTGAAAACTTCACAAAACAAAATCAATCCTTTTGACTTCCTCCGAATCAAGATTTCAAATCGCCAGGAAACATTACCCTCTCTAGCTGTAATTGGGTGTCTCAAGGGTAACAGTTCTCAGAGATGCTGAAGTAAAATTTCAGAAAATAAAAAATATTTCTAAAAGACCTGGATAATGCAGCAAGCGAAGAAAACCATTGGGTGGATTAAATGCACCAACATCATGGAAGAAGTTTTCGCTCAAGTTCAGTGACAAAGCAATTAACTGGATGAGTCTTTCACCAGCAAGCCTAAAACAGGAAACCAGAAAAATTAATATATTGGAGCATTGAGAATTCCATATATCCCTTGATTAATTCTGGTACATAAAAAATCAACACTAATCAGATTTCAAAGAACAGAAAAAGAAAATCTTCTTCAGTGAAGTAGCAGTGCACATGTCAAATGGAAGCTTGATGAAGTGTCATTGGAGAAGCGCTAATCTCAAGTCAATGTCAAACACGGGTTGTGGTTATCATATAATCCTTGCAGTGAAGTAGCAGTGCATATTATGCAAAATATAATTAATCAATAGGCAACATATTGATGCTCAATCTTAGAAAGATTAAATTGATTCACCAAATTTCATAACAGAAAAGGCGTGTTATAAATCATCTCCACAACTGAGGCAAAAAGTCATGTAACTAATTCTTGTGAAATGCTTACAAGACTTGTTTGTAATAATCTTCCATGGTGGATCTCCAGCCTGGAATAATCTCTGAAGATGCTTAAAAAAACTGAAATCATAAGTTGCTCAAGTAAACATTTAAAGCTAGAGACTCAATACTGAATGCATGCAATATACTTTTTACAAAAGTAACTGAAATAGAGACTGAACGTTAGGATTGATTCGGGTGTGTTCGTTTGTAGGATTTTGTCAAAATCCTACTATTCATCCAAAATCTTCCCCCCAAAAACATCAAATCAAACACCTATTTTTCATTTTCTATATTATACTAAAAATCAATTTTACATTCAAAACATCACATCAACACCTATTTATATCAGATCATACAACTATTCAAATTCAAAATTTTTACTATTCAAATCCCAATCCAAAATCCAAACCCCCAAACAAACACACCCGAACAAGATTCCTTATTCAATATAAAAGTAAGAATCTGATTTACCAAAAACATTTAGCAAAACCACACACCTTCTGATGGCCACTGATTCAAGCATACAGGTCCAGTTACTTCATCAAGAGGTCCAATATAGAAGCTCTCCTTAGAGTCTCCTGAGATTTTAAAGTCAGAAAAAGTGTGAATATCTACTTACATCAAATATCTGAGAATGTCATCAAGATTCCTTGTAGCTTCTCAACTAAGAAAACAGTAACGAAGAAAATGAAAGACTTTTGATAACTTCAGAGTGTTGTATCTCTTGCAAGTGTAACCATACAAATATATAATTCAATTTAATGCTAAAAATCCTTTCAGCAAGAAAGGATAGCAGGCCTGGCTTCAAACAACAACTTTCTATTCTCAGGTTTCTTAAATCCTTACTATTGATAACTTTTCACGTTCTTCTTCTGATGAAATTTCATTAGGAAATTATATATAAAAAAAAATGCTAAGTGGCATATGTTATGAACATGGGTCAGAAAATTCTATACACGAAGTTCCCTTTACTCAACAATTCCTGTAATGATGAGTCTTCTATCAAGTCATTCTTCATTAGTCCTATTAGGATACATAAAGCATAAGACCGAAAACTTAGAAACACTTAGCAAAATACAAAATTAAATAATAAACAAAATTCAAGACCTTTTGAACTGGAAGATGGATCAAGGTTTTCTGCATAAAGTGGGGTGTAGCCTCTATGTTCTTTTCGAGCCAGTTTCATTTTCACTTCTATCGGAAGAGAAAAAAATAATTTATTCCCTTCAAGCACTTTCTGCCACAACTGCTCATTAACACCATGATTAACCAGGTAAAAGAAGCCACAGTCCACACATGCCTGTTGCAGAAATCGTTATTTGATTACAACCATAATGTGTTTTAGAGTTAATCATGTAGTTGTAAGTTACATTTCTTTTTTTCTCACACAGGAATGCATTCTTTCTAGCGTTTAGGGTAGTGCATATCAACAGTTTCACTTGAATAAGAATTTCCTAGAAATCTAATAAAAAAGCCTCACCTATATCTTACTTTATAAAGAAATATTTTATCATCCTATCGCAAATTTCAGATATAACATTTACAACCACACAATTGCCCTCAGTCCAAGCCATAGCTTTTCATTAACAATCATCTTTCAACTTCTACGTACATAAAAGGCACTATCACCAACCATGAACTGAGGTTATCGAAACTCCAATTCTAGTATCCGCCTGCTCCGCAAACACAAAATAAATCCGAGCAATAAAGTATCAAAAGCGATAATATCCAGATTTTCCCCCTACTTCATCATTTCAAATAAATATACGAAGTAAATAGTAACGTAGACAATGACGGAAGCCCCCTGAAACCAACATGCTTCTAAAACGACAGGCAATTACACAGAAGAATAATATTACTACTAAAAATCTTATTCGCAAACCAAAATACAATAGCAAAGATAACCATAGTTCACCAAACCACCGTATCGCAGAACACACCTCACGAATAGAATCAGCCGTGGCGAGGCGATCGGTGGAAGCAAGGTCGACGACCGGAAGCTTCAGAGCTTTGGCCATGAATCACTCCTGCAGTGGAAGCAGAATCTACCGGATTTTGGAGCTAACGCTAACAAAAGCACTAGCGAAGTCACTCTAGGAAGAAAAGTCTGAAGTACCTTTTCAATTAATATTCCTATGTTTGAAAATTAAAAATTAAAAATGATAGGAAAAAATCATATTCACAGAGTTTTAAAAAATAAAAATAAAATTATTTATACAAAATTCCTTTTAATTCAACAAAATGGTGTCATAAAAAAAAATAGTCTAGAATCTTTCCTATCATAATTTTTACATATTATTCTTGAAGATTAAAATGCATGCTTCTAATATTTTTAATTTAAATTTTATAGTAGTATCTTGAAATTTTATATTTGAAATAAAATAATTCATAAATATGTTGTCTTTTTTTTTTTTTTCAAAAAATAGTTTTATAGTATGTAAAATAGATTATCAAATAAATATTACAAATACTACATTTGAGCCCAAAGTGTTGAGGCCCAACTTGCACTAATGTAAACAAAATTAATATAAATCCAACTCATCAAACATTTTTGTATGGCCCCATGACCCAATTAGGTTAACACTATCATTTCATACTAATATTGTTGTAAATTTAGGCTGATAGAAGTTTTGTAAGTTTTTAATTAGATTTTTTTTTTTTTAAATATTTTTTTTTTTGATAATATTACTAGAAGTTCAAAAAGTTTGGGTATAGTTCATATGCTGGTACATTGAAATAATATAGTAAAGGTAAATTATACTCCATAGTCCATTGGGTATGCCAAATTTATACTTATTTGAGTTGAATATAAATTTTAATAAATATAGTATTATATTAATTAATGGTGATATATGAAGTAAAGATATTTTAAAAAATATACGAGTGAGTTAATAAAGTGAAAATATTATTATTATTATTTTTAGTGTTTAAGTAATTGTGTTATTTATTTAAATATGTGTAACGTTGAAGGGTACAAGGAATGTGTGAAATTTATTTGATATAAATAAATAAATAATGTATATTTTTTTTATTGACAAATAAAAAGAAAAAACAAATATAAATTCGATGGACAAATCAAGTATTACATATATTAGGGTCTTTTTTTTCTTTTTTTTCTTTTTTATCAAAATCCCCGGTTTCTTACTATTTGGATGCAATTCCTTCAAAAAATATTTTTTTTTTTTCACAAAACATTCACGTTATTCTAATATTAAATTTAAACCATTTTTTTTCAAATTAATAATAATAATAATAATAATAGTAAAAAGAAAAACACACTCTAAATACATGTAGGGTGTGTTCGTTCGTTTGTAGGATTTTGGCATAATTTTACTATTTATTAAATTTTTTTCTCAAAAAATATCAAATTAAACATCTATTTTTTATTTCTTATATTATATTAAAAATTAATTTTACATTCAAAATATTACATTAATACTTATTTATATGACATCATACATCTACTATAATTTAAAACATTTACTATTCAAATTCCAATTCAAAATCTAAATTCCCAAACAAACACACCCGTAATGTCTTTTGCTATATTATAATATAACATATGTTGTGTTATAAATATATTATATAATTATATTATGTTTATCGTTATTATATATATTGATTGAATTAAATTGATATTATACTGATTTGACCAAATAAGTAAGACATCCAAATATGTTCACGTTAAAAAAATAATAATAATAAAATGTATTTATTAGAATTTTGATTAAAGAAAATGCCAAAAAGAAGAGAGAGTGATTGAAAACTAGTGGGGAATGTGAGCATGCATCCCCAATTCAAATTTTTATATATTAATAATTTTGATTAGTTAATTTGAATAAATGAAAAAAAAGAGGGCCAAATTGCAAAAAGTTAAAATGAAATCGAAAATCAAGGAGAAGCTGAAGCTGGCTGTGGACTGTGGTGCTTTATGCTGTAGTGTTTGTACATATTTTTCCAACATCAAGTGACTGACTGACTCACTTCACTGCTGACATCTAATTAATGTACTCTAATACTTTCTTGTTTTCTGGTTTGGTTTTTGTCTGCAGAGAATCTTGCCATCTTTCCCCTAACCTAAACTAAACTAAACTAAACTACTAACATTTCATTTTTATTTCAATTATTATAATATATAATATGAATGAATAAATTTATATGCCCCTACAAAAAGGTATCTTCACTTTTTCTACTTTTCAACTACTCCAATGCACCTTTTCCCCCTAATTTCGATTTGCCAAAATATTCATCAAACTTATCTCTATGGATTTATTTTATTTCATGATATTAGAATAATTTATCATTAAATTCAAAAGGGGGTTGGTGACAAGTTAAACTAACAATTAAATTTGCACAAGCAATGAGAATATATAAAAAAAATTACTTGCTTCTTGATTCGTGTAAGATCAAGATTGATTTTTTTTTTTTTTTTTGATTAGGGTTTAGGGTTTAATTTCCCAACAAAATTAGGTGAATTTGAATGAAGACAAATGTATTTTTTAAATTAAAATTATTGTTATGTATGGGTCTAATAATAATAATAATAATAAATTTAATGTGAACAATTGCTTTTGATCAAATAAAGCATGGAGGAAAAGTAGGGGCATAATAATTGCGAGCTTTCTGCAATATACGTGCAATTTTAAATGATTGTATATAAAACAAAAATTAGTATTTAATTTGACTTTTGAAAAAAATGATGATGTATTTGGCCTAATCAAGACACTGAGACGTGTGTGACGTGAATTTTTTATTTTATTTTATTTTATTTTAAATTAATTTATTATGACATGTTATGATGTGTGCGTGCGCACACACACACACACATATAATTATATATTCGAGAAGGGCCTTAATTTTTAAGAGATTATTTACTTGGTGAGATTAAGAAATATTAATTGAAATAAATAAAATTATTGGTTTGCATTCATAAATTAAATAATTAATTTAGTATTCGAAAATCGAAATGGAAATGAAGTGACAAAGGAGTAGAAATTGGATGTTTAATTAGGACTTAGGGTTTATGAGTTTAGGTCAACTATGGTGTTTTAATTGGAAGAGACATCAAGTCAAAAAGTTGTTCGAAATTTTTGGCTAGGTCAAAAACTTTTGGTCGTACTGTAATTTAGGCATCTACCATTAATTATTTCTGTCCTTCACAAATTTCTAGAAATCATTTTTATAATCTATTATTATTATTATTATTATTATTATTATTATTATTATTATGTGGGTGTAATAAAATAGGTGTGCATCCTCAATATATGTGCAAATTTGAATAATATATATCAACAGCTATGTTGAGGGGTCCGTTTGTACGTGTTTCCCGTTGTTGTTTGTTTTGGTTTGAAATTACGTTAGAATTTTGTACTTTTTTTTTTTTTTTTTGAATTTTTGGTTAAATATTTTGGTATGTAGTAATGTTTCTGAGACAATATAAAATAACATACGAACTAAACACTGATAGTTTTGATTTCAAATCATAATCCTAATGTTTTAGATATTCAATTTTAGATTTAGTAAATTTATACGTAGATTTGATTTTATTCATATATTAGATTACTTAGAGTTGAGTTTATCGAGTCTGCCTATATATACACTCTTTATTTTAAGGATCAATAACACAATTTTATTATTTTCTCCCAAAAGTTCTAACAAACCCAATCTTTGGGCGAGTTTGTTTGTGGGTTTTAGTTATTGAATTTAAAATTTTGAATAGTAAAAAATTGAATTTACTAGTTGTTTAATATGATATAAATATAAATTATTTAATGTTTTGAATGAAAAATAAATTTGTAATATAATATAAAAAAGAAAAGTAATTGTTTGATGCGATTTTTTTTTTTTAAAAAAAATTAGAATAATAAAAATCTAAAACTCACAAAAGAACACAACCAAATATTATTACTGAGTGATTCTCAGTAAAAATTCATGTTGTCTTTCAAAATATATTACTGTATAAAATATATATTGAACATGATATCTAGAATATAAACGGGATGTTAGATATCATAATTTTATTTTTTTTAAAAAAAATAAGTTTTTTTATATAAAAAATTAAATGTTTCAAATTTGATTTTTTAAAAGGAAACGTAAATTTTTTCTCCAATATTTTAAACGAAAAAAATGTGTTGAATCACTGAATGTATAATGTTTTAAGTGAAATTGTTTTTTTTTTTATAATTTAAAAGACAAATGTATATTAAATGGTGCAATATTTAATAAAAATATATTTTCTCATAAAATATTACATTAACATACTATTTTAATAAAAATTTAAATCAATGCATCATTTCGAACTAATTATACATTCAAAAAAAACAAGCTTATATGATGCTTTAATTTGAAAGGATAAAAACTATGCGAACCATATTTTTAAGTAAAGATTTTTTTTAATAATTTTAAACTATATATTGCAAAACAATAACGATTTAAATATGATATATATTTTTTTCAATATATATATAAATATATATTACAGGAAATTGTAAGACTTGAATAGTAGATAATTTGAAATACCGATTAAAACAGATAATAATAAATAATAATAATAATAATCAAATTAATAAGTAATTAAGAGCATCATCTTGTTGTTATTATTGAATTAAGTGATATATATATATTTATTTTAGATATATTTATATATTTGGTTAATGATCTATGAAGAATTTTAAAACATTTATACTAATTAAAGTTGTTGCTGTAGATATGGGACCTCACGATCATCTGTAACCAATAATGCACTAATTTAATTAAATTAATTTAATTTTAATATGTACACTAGTGACTGACATGCATTTCTCAACTACCTAAGCTAAAATTCGAAATCAATAAAGCTATATGTATAGATATCATGGAAATTAGGCCGTGACAAAATTTATATAATTGCCTTTTATTTATTTTGAGATAATATTTAATATTTTATGCAATAATATATAATAATTAATAGTAAATAAGGCGATTCAAATTTAGGAAATATTGAATGGAGAGCTTTAATAATAAAAATATTGTGAGAAGATGAAAATTTAGGTCTTATTTAATGTGTAACTTTATATTGAAAATTAGAAAATTGATCAAATATTTTATGAAAATGACATGTAAGATCCATTTTTTGC